CTACCATTGATATATCCACACTGATCTTCATTAACAATTGATTTAATCACTGATTTCAACCTATTTGCAAGAGATTTGGCTGCTATCTTATAATCAATGTTTAGAACTGATATGGGGCGCCAGTTAGGCAGTTCCTCTCTGGGAAGGTTTTTTTCCTTTATAAATTAATGTTATAACAGCTTGTCTTTGAGACCATGATAATTGTCCATTTACATAGCCATCATTCAATGACTTCACCACTAGATTGTTTATTTTACTCCAAAATACTTTCATAAATGCAGATGTTAGTCCATCCAATCCTGGGCTTGAGTTATTGTCCATTGTTTTTAGGGAATGGCTACATTCTTCTATAGTTAGAAGACCTTCACAATGATTGCGCTCCAGTTGGGACAGTTTGGGGAGATCAATGCCTTGGATAAATTGATCTAGCCTTCTAGGGTCATAATTAAGGTTACTCTTGTATCGAGTAGTGTAAAATTGCACTTGTTCCTTCATAATATTCTCCTTTGATGTGACAGTAACACCACCTGCTGTTCTGCATGATGACATTGTTTTCTGGTGTGCTTTAGCTTTTTCCAGGTTCAGGAAATAACTGGTGTTTCTCTCACCCTGCTCAGCCCAAATGGCCTTCGAACGAATTTGAGCACCCCTGGCTATGGAAATACACAACGTGCTGAATTCTGTTTGCAACTGGGTCACCTTGGCTACTAGAATAGGATTGTTAGTGTCATTTGCAAGTTCAGAAGATGCAATTTTAAGCTTATCTCTCACAGATTTTAACTTTGTGTGATTAAATTTGGCATTTTTCTTGCTGTACAGTATAGATTGTCTCTTTATTCTAGACTTGATAAAATCCCATAGTATTTGTGGACTTTCAATTGTTGTACTATTACTTTCTTCTTCGATCAAATTATTAATCATGTTTACATAGTTAATGTCTTGGAGTAATGCATTGTTCATTTTCCAGTAAGAAGGTCCTCTGTCAGGAACGCTACCTGAAAAGTCTACGCATATTAATACACCTCTGTGATCAGATGTGGGAAGGTCTATAATATCTGCCTGTTGAGCAAGATCAAAACATTTTTCATTTCCAAAAATATAGTCTATGCGTCTTAGTATATTTCTTGATTTGTGTTTCCAAGTATAATCTTTTACTCCAGGATTAAATAATCTCCACAAATCATTCAAATCAGCTTTCACCAAGATGTTTTGCAGGGCATCAATTTCATTTGCACTATGAAGTTTGCCTGCTAAGTTGTCCATAGGATCAATAATACAGTTACAGTCACCACCTATGATGAGTGGTATTTCAGTGTTAAAAGTTGATATTACATCCAATACATGACTATAGAATTGTATTTTGTTGTTATTGTCATTTGGAGCATATATATTTACACAAATAAAGGATTCATCATTATCAGTTATTTTAATTGCAATTAGTCTTTGTTCATTTAAAAGTACATCGATTATACAGTTTTTATATCTGTTTCCAATTAATATGACTTCCCCTTTACTATGATTGGTTCCGGGATTATATATCATTTCTCCTTTCCAGTCTTTCTTCCATGTAGCACTGCATGCATCAGTAATATATGTTTCCTGAAGCAATGCAATGTCAACATCCAGACTACGTAAGTAGTTAAAAAATGTATATCGAGTCATCTTGTTACGGAGGCCTTGGACATTAGCAGAGATAAAGTTCACCATAAATCAATCGATAATAAGGTGTTCATGATTAAGGCGGATCCTTGACTTCCTCTTCCGCAATTTTTTCACTTTCCTGAACCAGATTCACATGAATTTGACTTACTACTATAGGTGACCCTATTTTTGTTTTCTTGTCATCCTCATTACTCAGCGGACTGTTAGCATCTCGTTTACGCGACTCCATGGTGGTGTTACTGTTAGGGGTGGTCGCGACAGGTGGGGCTATATCCTGAAGAGCAGATATGAGGGACTGGGTTGGGGCAGCTTCAGTTTTGGCTAAAAATGAGTCTGCTCTCTGCAGAATCTCTGGGGATCCTAGTGTTGTATCTCCGGGATTTAAGGCGTGGTCTATCAAAGCCTCTGCCAGAGAGGCAGCTTGTTTTGTTTTCTGATAATCAAGACAATCTTGCTTCTTATGATCTCCGCCACACTTCCAGCATGACATGGTATTCGTTTTAGAAGAACATTCAGATTTAATATGCCCACTTTTCCCACAGGAAAAACATGTGGGTTGGTTAAGAGGGCAATCACTGATAGCGTGGTCTAAAGATTTACATTTCCTACAGTTGATCACTTGGTTTTTGTTATGGTATATCGTTACATCCTCTTTAATGAGATCCTTGGGATGGACAGGATCTGCGAACTCGTAAGTTGTAAATCGTGGAATGGGCGTATTGATGTTGTTTACATAACAATATCTGTGACCTGTGAACAAATGTTTAAACGGATCATCGGGGTCACTTTTCTTGGAATGGTTGAGCACTTCTCCAACTCCATCAGCAAATGATTCTACCCATGCGTGTATTTCACTATTTCCAACACAGAAGGGGATCCCATGGATCGATACTCGTGTTGATGTTCGACTTGGAAATTTAGAATCGTCTATACGGGCTTCCTTGTATTGGCGCATTTCGTAACGTTTACCCTGCACTGAAATTGCAGAAACTGCAACTAACATATCCTTTACTCTGGGTCCAGAAGTGTAGATAATCCATGACTTGGGGTTGTTCATAAGTTGAACACCCATAATATCACTTGGCTTGATAATATCTTTTCCCAGTGCCGTTTGAACAGATGAAAATATAGCCAACGCTATTTCTTTTTCAGAAGACCTTGGCATGCCTCTGGCATCAAGGGATATCCAATAGTCATGGTTTTGAAGTACATTGTCCAGTGCTACTGCCATAATAATGTGCTCAGAGTTCCATAGTGGGTGATAATAGGTTTATTTTTCCTTTTCAAAATTTTTCACTTTTTCACTGACCTGTTACTTCACTATAAACGTTGCTTCTTGAAAATATCCAAGTCAAATAGTTGCTCTATATGTTTAGGAAGATGTTCCAATGTTGTATTAATGTCTATTACTGTTTATATGAACAAAAATAGAGAAAACATGTCTATTTTTAGACATGTGTCTAAAAATAGAAAACATCTTACAGAATGAGAATAGCCAACCTCCTCTATTTCGTAACATTACGTCAAAGTAACTACAAATAGTTGTGAAACAATAAATACGAGCGTTTAATTTCAGTAAAATTAGCAACCTTTAGCCCCTTCTATTGGACTACGTGTTAAAGCCTTTCATGTTTGAATTGTGAAGAGAAAAAAAATATTTGTAGGGCTGCAGATGTCCAATTCCTCACTTTTCTAAGTTTTCGCCATTTACAATAAGTGGGAAATTGCCACAAATCATGTAACCTACAGAATATGCATCCATCCGAAGTTCTAACAAAAATATAAGTTAATAAAGAGAAAATTGAATTTAACTTTATGGAACACAAAATTGATATCTTCTTCGAGAATATTGGGACAGTTCGGAGGTGCAGAAAATAAAAAAAACGTTGGGGAGTTAAGGCTGTCAAACCTATAGAGGGATGTATGATATTGAAAAATAATGTATCCTTTTAAAAACAAATGTTAAAATAAATTATAGAAAAGGTGTCCATTCGCCTGTACTTTTTTCAAAATACCCAAACTGAACTGAACTGAACTAATAACCCAATGATCGGATCTAGTACAGAGGCCAATAATTTTTTTCATCGGTTTGCCCCTCTTGATTTTATCTGGACCGCCCCGTAGATTATACGTCAGTGGGTCATGAGATATATCATATGCGGCGTTCCCTTTTTGCTTTTGCAAATGTTGAAAATTAAATGCGATTGCAACCCTGGGAGTGTAACATTGCTCAGAGGTACTCAATCCCTTAAATAATGCATTGGACCACAATTTCATTCGTACCTTATTCACAGAATCGATGGTACAGCTACCTGTATAGTAACACCAAGTAGTAACACTACGTTATTTCTAAAGGATAAATGTAAAATATTACATTGTTTTTGCGCCCGTTTTTGCGAGACCTCACCGGGGACCTCATCAACTTTGAATAAATGTTTCATTTTCCCCCTTGGAGCCCCTGGGTTTGAGACCAATCATAGTACATTGTACATCTTCTAAATTACCGCGAGTGACAAATTGAATGATTGTATTTTAATTTTCACTTTACAAATATTACATACATTCCTCATGTTTCAACAAAGACATATAAAACTGTTTTATATGTCTGGTTACAAAGACAATGGAATATGATGCAGTTTCATGTTACCAGGTTTATCAATCCTATAGTCACTTCACACATAAAAACGTATTTCTCATTTATCCATCAACCAAAATATTGCTGGGGTGTACAGATGGTCTTGATTGCTGTTAGCTAACCGAGGGACGCACAAATTAGCTCGATTATTACTATTTCCTTGATATCGAATTGAGCTGCATGCCAAAACTAATTAGGTGCATTCCCAAGTAGAAATTCACCAATCAGAAAACGTATATATTTGAAGTAAGACATGCATGATGGGATTGAAAAGGGCGCCATTTGTTGATTACACTACTCACCTATAGTAACATTCCCGGGGAAAATCCTCCCGGGGACAGATTAATGTTCCCTCTATTGACTAAACTAGGTACTATAGTTCACTCCACCTTTTGAAAATAACTAACTCATATAAACATAAATTCATAATTAAGCCATGAGACAGGATTGCTAAAAACAGTGCTGCTTGCCTAACTACAGATTGGGCCAATAAACTAATACACAAGTTTAAAGATGAATACTGTATGATATACACGATATGATAAACCATATGCCATGTAATGATATATCATTTGAAAGATAAATCATTTCCTGACTATATAGCACCATCTGATGAAAAACTTTTGTTTCCCTGTGGGGTTAGAGGCCAAAATGTTCATGACGTGTAAAGGTCGTCTGCTTTATGGAATTTATCCTATTCTAGGTTTGTCCACAATGGTACCATACTGGAGACTGATGAGGAAATGTGGAACTTCATGGATTATTTCTTATTCTAGGTTTGTCCACAATGGTACCATACTGGAGACTGATGAGGAAATGTGGGACTTTATGGATTATTTCTTATTCTAGGTTTGCCCACAATGGTACCATACTGGAGACTGATGAGGAAATGTGGGACTTTATGGATTATTTCTTATTCTAGTTTTGTCCACAATGGTACCATACTGGAGACTGATGAGGAAATGTGGGACTTTATGGATTATTTCTTATTCTAGTTTTGTCCACAATGGTACCATACTGGAGACTGATGAGGAAATGTGGGACTTTATGGATTATTTCTTATTCTAGGTTTGTCCACAATGGTACCATACTGGAGACTGATGAGGAAATGTGGGACTTTATGGATTATTTCTTATTCTAGGTTTGTCCACAATGGTACCATACTGGAAACTGATGAGGAAATGTGGGACTTTATGGATTATTTCTTATTCTAGGTTTGTCCACAATGGTACCTGATGGAGACTGATGAGGAAATGTGGGACTTTATGGAATATTTCTTATTCTAGGTTTGTCCACAATGGTACCATACTGGAAACTGATGAGGAAATGTGGGACTTTATGGATTATTTCTTATTCTAGGTTTGTCCACAATGGTACCATACTGGAGACTGATGAGGAAATGTGGGACTTTATGGATTATTTCTTATTCTAGGTTTGTCCACAATGGTACCATACTGGAAACTGATGAGGAAATGTGGGACTTTATGGATTATTTCTTATTCTAGGTTTGTCCACAATGGTACCATACTGGAAACTGATGAGGAAATGTGGGACTTTATGGATTATTTCTTATTCTAGGTTTGTCCACAATGGTACCATACTGGAGACTGATGAGGAAAGTTGGGACTTTATGGATTATTTCTTATTCTAGGTTTGTCCACAATGGTACCATACTGGAGACTGATGAGGAAATGTGGGACTTTATGGAATATATCCTATTCTAGGTTTGTCCACAATGGTACCATTCTGGAGACTGATGGGGAAATGTGGGAATTTATGGATTATTTCTTATTCTAGTTTTGTCCACAATGGTACCATACTGGAAACTGACGAGGAAATGTGGGACTTTATGGATTATTTCTTATTCTAGGTTTGTCCACAATAGTATCATACTGGAGACTCACTTTATAGACTATATTATATGGGACTTTATGTGGGACTTTATGAATTATTTCTTATTCTAGGTTTGTCCACAATGGTACCATACTGGAAACTGATGAGGCAGCATGGGACTTTAGCTTCAATGTCAATGTGAAGAGCATGTACCTGATGACCAAAGAATTCCTACCAAAGGTAATAAAAAGAGCCTTCCAGCAGGGCTCCTTAAAGAGTTTTTTCCTATCTTAAAAAACAATTTTTATGATCTAGTAGTAGTCTTGCTAAAGCATAACAGTTATTTGAATCATTATTGTAATTACATGCATAATTTAATGCATTCTTATATTTATACTGTAAAACCTGTGTATACTGAACATTTTTTGCCAAGAAAAATGTTCAGTGTTGGTAAGTGTTCATTACAGAAAGGGTCATTTATACTGAAGTCAGTGGAGTATGTGTGGAGAAAGGTTGTCTTCTAGAGACAGGTGTTCACTAGAGAGAGGTGTTCAGTAAGACAGGTTTATTGTATAAAAGATTGACATTCCGTCTTGGTAGGTGTTCATTACAGAGAGGGTAATTTATACAGAAGTCAGTGGAGTATGTGCGGAGGAAGGGTGTCCACTAGAGACAGGTGTTCACTAGAGAGAGGTGTTCACTAAGACAGGTTTTATTGTATTCATTATTTCTTTCACATGAAAGGCAATGACAGGTACAGTGTAGTAATAGTATTGATTTGATTTTTTTAGATGATTGCACAAGGAAAAGGAAACATCATCAACATGGCTTCAGTTGCTTCAAGTATTAAAGGTATGTATTGTATAACAATTATAGATAATTAACACCAAAACTAGCTTTTCAATATAAAGGTACTGTATTATTAGAGATTAAACACCATAAATACTAGCTTTTCAAGCTTTTCAATTCATCTAAAACAAGACACTCATATAATATATATAGATACATGTAGATCTTTGTTTGCCTGTTTGAGTAATGGTAAAATGAATCACTTGGGTATGATGGCAGAAAGCGCTCAAGTCCATGTGTAAAATTCACAAAAAATTGTTACAAGATGCACCCTGGTAATCCACGTGAAAAAATTAATACTACTAAATCTAGGCGGATCCAGATGAGTAAAATCCTACTGGATAGTAGTGGGGGTCTATTAATCCCTTGACTACCCAGAATGACGAGATTTCTCGTCACCTCAGAAATTACCCTTGAAACCCAGAGGGACGAGAAAATCAGTCACAAAATTTTTCACAAAAATTGCTCTTATTTGAACAATTTTCATCCAATTTACACAAAAATTGTTTTAAAACGTGTAGAAATGATCTCTGCCATCTGCTTTTACTAAGTTGAGCATCTAAAGTTGTATAGGTATGCAGTAAAATGTCAAAAGGTGGCAAAAATGAAAAATTCTCTGGTTCCAACCAATTTTAGAGCCTGTGATTCAAGAGGTTAAATGATGTGGTTATAACCATGTCAGAATCACTATACAAGACCATTTTAATAATTCTTGTGCTCTAACTGCATTAAGTTGCTGTAGGGAATAAAGAAAATGACAATAAGAATTTTTTTAAACAGGAGCTCCCAATAGGTGTGTGTATGGGGCCACTAAAGCTGCAGTGATAGGCTTTACCAAGGCTCTAAGTGCTGACCACATAAGCCAAGGTGTAAGATGTAACTGCATATGTCCAGGTATGTATCACATTCAGTCTAAAATGAACTAAGAGAACAAGACAAAATTCAAATCTCTACATGCACACATTTCAGGACCATAGCCGAGGGGGGTGTGAGCAAACCCTCACCTTGGCCAAAAAAATCTTGCAGTTTTTCACCATTCTGATCACATCAATTGGTTTGGCCTAAAGTCAAATTTGAACCCCCTTGAAAAGTGATGGAACTTCAGAAATTTGTTTTGTTGACAATTTATAATCTTTTTATGTCACCACCAAAAAGCGGTGACATATTGTCATGGTCTCCATTTTTTTATGGTGGTTGGCGTCTGTAAGGCAGTTGGCGCCTGTAACAAATTCTTACAACTTCCAATAACTTACCAAATACTGTATAGGCTGACTTCAATCTTTTTCTAAATCATCTACAAGTTCTCAGAAGTTCAAATCTGACTTAAGATTTGACCTTCAATGACCTTCTCAAGGTCAAAAAGTTTTCAACTTGCTTCAAATTGGCCAAACTTCTTTTCAAGATCATTTTCAAGTTCTCAGCAGTTCAAATAGAAGGCTGATACCATAGAAGTGGACTCCAAAGGTTGTATAATTTTTACAGGGACTGTTACCACACCTTCTCTGCTGGGGAGAATCAATGCCCTCCCAGACCCTGAACAATCCATGAAGGACTTCATTGCTCGTCAGCCAATGAAAAGAATGGCGGGGCCAGAGGAGGTTGCTCATCTTCTTGTCTACTTGGCATCAGATGAGGTGAGTAAATATTCAGGAAAGAACAATGTTAAAACTTCGGGAGTGAATAGTGTTTGACTTATGAATAAATACATGTTCATGCTCTCGAATGGATAAATGCTCAGGAGTGAATAATGTTCAACTCATGAATGAATGAATGTTCAGGATTAAATGTTTGACTCCTGAATGAGTAAATGTTTAGGATTGAATAATGTTTAACTTGTGAATAAATGAATGTTCAGGAGTACTGCAAAATTAAATTGCTAAGAAGAGAATAAATGTTGACTGACTGCAATCACACTGTCAAATGTTAGACTAATTCCACATGTTTAAGTACTATGGGGTCCAGTGATGTGTGATTTATTATCCCAACTTTCCCACATTCTTTCATGTCATACTATAGTTCTGTTCTTCATGTGTTTCAGTCACAATTTACTACTGGATCCTCAGTGGTGATTGATGGAGGGTGGAGCAACTAGATGTCAATGTTGTCCATATGTCAGCATTGTTATATATGGATAATATTAGTCAACATGGATAACTGTAGTCAACATGATTACCTTAGTCAACATGGATAACCTAAGTAGACATGGATAACATGTGACATAGATATTAGTCAACATGACTAACATTAGTCAACATGAATAACATTAGTCAACATGGACAACATTAGTCAACATGAATAACATTAGTCAACATGGATAACCCTAGTCAACATGAATAACATTAGTCAACATGAATAACATTAGTCAACATGAATAACATTAGTCAACATGGATAACATTAGTCAACATGAATAACATTAGTCAACATGAATAACATTAGTCAACATGAATAACATTAGTCAACATGGATAACATTAGTCAACATGAATAACATTAGTCAACATGGATAACCTTAGTCAACATGAATAACATTAGTCAACATGGATAACATTAGTCAACATGAACAACATTAGTCAACATGTATAACATTAGTCAACAATATTAGTCAACATGAATAACATTAGTCAACATGAACAATTGTAATCACCATGGATTCACCTAATCAACTTTTAAAAACAACCTTGGGCATCATATTCTACCCTAGTCACAGTGGATTTTCTAATATCATGAACTACCTCATTAATAGTTCCATCCTTTATACTTTGTGAATAATTAAGCAAAATTGGGAAAATGGGTCTGTCATGTTGCTTCAGCGAGAAATATAGAAAGGATTTTTGAAATGTCTATACAATGAGCTATAAAGATTTATGAACATAGCATATACTTTACTGACATGTTTGAGTGTTAGAAAGCATTTTTCTCACTATGACAGAATTATATGTGTAAACTTGAGAGGTATCATGGAACAAAATATTTAGAAAATCTTAGAAAGTACAATTTATAGAAAGTACACTGGGAATTAAAATATTTGTTTGACAATATTTGAGACAATATAACTAGAGCTAGCTTGAAGATAATAATGCTATAAAATGTCCCATTACAAATGTATTTAGTAAATTATGCACATATAAATGTGACTCAAGAAAGTGTGGTTGTGGGTATGAAAATGTGGCAGCTTTCTGGTTACTTGGTCCTCTGTATGATTAATTACAAATGATATTTTTGTAAAATTGTTATATTTTATTATATTTTTAAAATGTACACATTTTACAACACAAATACACACAATGAATAAAAAAAAAATGAATAGATTATGTTCTCATTCTGTCATGACTCAAACTAAAACTGGGTTCATCAATACTGGCCAAATAAAAATTGTTATGGAAAATAGTTAAATATGGTAAATACCCCATCCAGTATGAAGTAAATATATTGTCATGTACTATTGTTGCAAATGATGGGCAACGCAAATCCAAGGGTTTCTTACTAGATTTCCATTACTGTGAGCTTTTTAGACTCCGCATTGGCTGATCATATCATAGATTTTGTTTAAATATAATCCCTTTGCTTTTGCTATGGTGTAGCCATGAAAAGTCATGCTATGAGGTCTGGTTAGAACCAGTACACATGAGAACACCATAAGTTGTGTTCAAAGTGAATTTTCATAGAAATTTGTGAACATTCATTTGTTACAGACGCAGAACGCCATCCACAAAAAAGTCAGAAACTATAATGATATGTCTGACATAATATATACCTTAGCCATATGAATTAATACTCATTGTTCAAGCAAAGTTGGTAAAATTTTCAGGCAAAAAATCCAGTAGGATATGACTTAAGCTATTATACATTACTAAAGGAAAAAACGAGGTAAAAATACAAATCAATGAAACATGTTCACATTGTCATGATTTTAACGATTGTGCGTTTCAGTATAATGCTGATAAGGTTTCAAACTGACATAAATCTGTCTTTTACTTAATTTGGCAGCCATGTAAATGTGATACCTTGTGAATGTGAATATCTTTAATTTAGAGTGACATTGCAAAATATGTATAGAAACCTACATGCATCACCCTAAACATCTATATTATAAGGATTTGATAAATTCATGATCAATTTCATCTAAAACTGAATTTTCTGAACTGGCTCAAAACTAAGGCAGTGAAGACACCACAAATGTAAGAGGCTTAGCTGAATCTTAGTTTTAAAGATCAATCTCAGCCCCTCTATCCTCTGATCACAGTGCTCTAAGATCAAGATCAGATCTCCCTATATCAAATATCCACCAAATTGGTCAGTGCTAAATTAAGTAAAAGTACAGATCTGAGATTCTTAACACTTCATGTCTCTATTTAAAACGTTTGGCAGCAGCTTTAAAATCTGCCTCATTGAGCCTATATCCCCAATGTTGTAGAGTCTGTCTCACTACAGGTGATATAGCATGATTGTCAAATGAGCATCCACCACGTGCACATTTTCCAATGAGATTGTTACGCCATCTACCCTTCACTCCTGCACAGCGTAACCAGCGTCCAATTTGTCGTTCATCATCTTCAGTACGTCGTCCTTGGTAAAACCTAAAAAATTATAAAAACAAGTTAAAAAATGTAGAGGTACATGTTTTTACAATCTTCTGCTCTATAAAATTGATTACTGTGAATTTCGTGCCAATTTAACATATTTTTATAAGCATCGCTTTATTGTGTGGACGTTTCAGATTTTTAGGTCTCTCTTCATCAATTACATATTTTATTTCAAAACATCGATTCCTGGTAATAACACTCCCCTCCAATATACTGTATGTAAACTGAATCTCCACATTGAAGGTGTTAATCAAACCCTGTTATGTCTGTGTCATAAGGGTGGAAATTCATGACTTGAATGAATTTTTGCACATAGTCCGATATGGGAAGTTGTATAGGGAAGAGTACAACCTCGAATGTATGTATTATAATTTTCCTTATTTGCATTTAAAATAAGGCAGTAACATGTTATGCAACAAGGCATTAACATGCCATGTGTCACCACATGCCATTTGTAGATGCCCACTGCAGAATGCAACCCACAAAAACAGTTGAAGACTGTAACCACTTATATAACTACTTATATATGAGATCATGTAGTAATGAATGCCATAAGTATCATACAAATGCAAGTGTGTATTTTTTAAACGTATGTGTTGCATTAGTTAGCAATTTTAGCAAGTCAGTGGATATAGCATTATGTAAACCTACACAACTTACCTGCAGTACCACATGAACCAGCCATATGGATCTTGCTTGTGTATCCAACCACTGTCTTCCCACATTTCAAGACTGCCTCCACATTTCACTTTGTATGTGTTGACCTCTGGTCGGTAGGTACAGGATATCACCTTAAAGAGGAGATTTGGGAATGGAATAAATTATGGCAAAATTGTGGTTGTCCCAACATTACTTTCACTTTGATTACTCTCATTTCTGAACATTTTTTTGTCAATCCAAATATTAACTAGATGATCGCAACTCCGCAGAGTAGCAAATCCCAACGAACAAAATATCAATTACCGAATTCCAATCAATTATACTCATTACTTTGGTTAAAATTGAAAAATTTAGATTTTAGAATTGCGAATTCCTGCAAAGCAGCCATTTTGAATTTTCTGAGGTACAAATCTGAAAAATAATACCATAATTGTGATCTAATCCAAAATTCCTTCAATTTGAATATTATATAGCCATACGTTGAAGGGATCGAAAAATTATCACGAAATCGTACACTAGACGGCCATTTTGAATTTTACGAGGCTCGAATCAGAAAAAAGATACAATATTTGCAATCTACTCTTAATTGCCTTTGATTTGAGTATAATAAAGCTATACTTCAGAAAGATCTAAAAATTAGCGAAAATTTCTGTTTTCCTGACCCCCCATACACGGCCCCTGGGGGTCAGGATGAAAAACACTGAATATATGTGGAAAAGATAGATGTTGCGAATATACTACCAAAATTTCAAACAATAATATTAATTACTTTAGTTTAGAATGAAAAATTTATGATTTTTGCGAAAAAGTCCCGCCATTTTTAAAGCGGCGGCCATCTTGAAAAAATCCATTTTGAATTTTCTGAGGTACAAATCTGAAAAATATTACCATAATTGTGATCTACTCCAAAATTCCTTCAATTTGAGTATTATATAGCCATACTTTGAAGGGATCGAAAAATTATTGCGAAATCGTACATTAGATGGCCATTTTGAATTTTACGAGGCTCGAATCAGAAAAAGATACAATATTTGCAATCTACTCTTAATTGCCTTTCATTTGAGTATAATAAAGCTATACTTCAGAAAGATCTAAAAATTAGCGAAAATTTCTGTTTTCCTGACCCCCCATACACGGCCCCTGGGGGTCAGGATGAAAAACACGGAATATATGTGAAAAAGATAGATGTTGCGAATATACTACCAAAATTTCAAACAATAATATTAATTACTTTGGTTTAGAATGAAAAATTTATGATTTTTGCGAAAAAGTCCCGTCATTTTTAAAGTGGCGGCCATCTTGAAAATTTTTTTTTATGCGTAAAACTATTCATCAATATACATCTTTCCATCAAATATGAAGAAAATCCGTCAACTAATATTTGAGTTATCTTCCGGACGGACAGACGGACGGACGGACGGACGGACTGACTGACTGACTGACGGACGGACGGAGTGCTTCACTATATCCCTACCGAACTTCGGCCAAAGGGAAGGGTGACTAAAAACTTTAAAGAAACCCAACAAGAAAAGCAAACTGTAAGTGTTAATCTGTCATAAGAAAAGTAGACCCTATAGTATATGCCAAAACCATGATCTAACATGAAAAGAAACAATGTCTAACATCCCCCTTTCCCCTCCAATCGAGAACCAATATCACAATCCAGGACCAGAACACCAAGGGACATTTCATTCATACTGAAGTCATTACAATACATGTTGAAGAAAAATTGAAAATGATGAGGGATAGATAAAATCCAGTATCGAAGTACATAGGCAATTCAAAAGGTCAACATCCGTTCGCAAAGCTATCATCATAATCCATAAAACACAACAATTCACAATGGTCATCAGGAGAAAACTATGGCTGGTTTCGATCCCTATTTCTCAACCATTTATGCCATAGCCAGGATCCACCTCAAAAGGTGCCAAGTGAAAAAATTGTGAGTTCATTGCCAATTTATAATAAAATTCCTACATCCTTCAGCACCTCAAAGATATACAAGGCATTAACATGCAAAATGTCACCACCTACCATTTGTTTCAGATGCCATCTAAAACACCAAATGCCAAACACTGTGTACAAAAAAGTTGGAGACTATTACCACTTGTGGTGTTGACATCATTTCTACCTAGTAGTTCTAGTTTCCTCCAACGCCAGATTACTATTACTATTTAGTATTTACTATTGAAGAGAATTGCACCCTCATGTCAAAGTCGTGAGCTCTCTTATAACATAGATGTGTCTGATGGTGATTTACTGATATCTCAGAGACAAAATAACTTTAAGTATGACAACTATGTCCCCACACAGGAAGGGAAAGAGCTCAGGAGAGATTTTTTGACAGGCTACTGTGAAGACAATTGAACCAAATTCAACACAAATTGGTCTACCGGGATAAGACATTAGAGGCCCAAATCTTGTATAAGCAAAGCAGTGATGGAAGAAGGTTTGCAAAATTCAGGGTCATCTGCTTGTAACCATCCAATAAAATAACCATAGTAAAACTTTTTTATCTAAACACCTCCCTAATTAATGTGAGCATCTTTTACTGTGTACGCTTTTTGAGCCAATTTTACAATCTGCCATGTAAAAATTGCAATGTCAACATCTGCCCACATGAGCACTTTTGGCTATTCGCAGTGGCATTCAAACTAGACTGGTTTTACTGTGCTTAGCTTTAGTACCTTTCTTGATATATCGAGTCCTTCTGTCCAGTCCTTAGGCAGCTCCTTCCAGACTCCAGTGTAGCTTTGCTCTAAAACACACAAGGTTTGGGGTGAGAGTTTGGGGACAAGGGCTTTTATTTTAACCCCAAAATGGATAGTATACCCTGGCCTAAATACTTTTCCCCCCAAAACCCATCAGGTGAAACTGTTTTCAAGATTCACTGTACAAATGTTTTTGTTAAACTAATGGCTGGCAAACATTCAGAATCAAAAGGGAAACAATACACAGTGGTCAAAAAGCAATGATGATAAAAAATGGAAAAGCACAAAAATGGTCAATAAATTTCAAATATCCTATGCATGGCATATAACACAGAAATGTATTTTTCAAAATTATCACAATTAATTTTTTATCTTATTTAGAAAAAAAGAAAATTGTGGAGTCTGTTTTACATTTGTTTTTTGATTATGCTCTTTTCCTTTTCAACAAACATCAACGATGCCTTGCGAGTTGCTACAAATGGAAAAGGAGCTGTGAGTGTCATTAGCTGCTTGATTGAAATTTTCAGCACCATACTTTCGATTAGGAGATTACCTTAACAATGTAGACTTACTGGTAACTCCAGATTTGATTGGTCGAAAATATGTCCCTCCAAAACTGCCAGCCTGTAAGACTTCTTTGGGGGTCATGTTTGGTTGAAATTCAGGGGCATCTTTGAACACTAACTGACCCTTAGAGTTCTTTGTGGGGATAGGCTCTGTGAAGACTAGGGACTGTGTAACCTGAAAAACAGTTACCATTGCAACAATTCAAATCAAAGTGCATAAATCATTTTCTAAAAATTCAAAGAGTTTTGACTTTTTATGAATCTTTATCCATTGTTGTATCTGTATGAGAATATAATATCTAAGAAGTTAAACTTCAAAAATACGGAAATGTCCAAATTCATTAGAACTAAAAGAGCTTTTTGAAAATAGGTGTGACACAGAAAAAAATATAGTTAATTGAGAAGATAATTTGTTTTGACTTTATATTGTGTTAAATTGCCCCTTCAAATAATTAATATGAAACTTTCCATTCATCACTTCCCTCTCACTTTCCTCACACTCAAGAGATGATAAGGGATAAATAAAAACAAATAGTAAAAAGCTGGTATGGCTTATTCATTGAGCTTAAATTTCTCATGCAAATAGCTTTATGAGGAATCAAAAATGTGAGTCATCCCTAACCTCATTTGTATCTTCATTTATTGTGGATGTGTATGTCTTCTTTGCTGGCTTCTTCTTTTGCTGATCCTTCGTAGTTGTATCCTTTTTCTTTTTTCCCTTTTCAGACTTTGCCACATCAGCAGCAGTTTTGCTAGAGGACTTTATTTTCTTTGGCTTAGTTTCTTTAGTATCTGTGGTTTCTGATTTTCTCTTGGAAGCAGGCATTGTGAAGTTGTTCAAGAGTATGCTTTGTACTTGTAGAGATAAATTTGTGAAGAGCTTATTGTTGATTGTGCGAGCTTGCAGTCTTATCATCTAGGATATATGCACAAGCCTATAAAGAAATACATGGATACCGATGTATGGATTTCTACTACATGAAACATAGGCCTGGGAACATGTATACAAAAATTGAGTCTGAGTCCGCCTAAGATATAAAATCTTGTTTCTGCAACCTTATATTTTGCATTAATTACGCAGGTTCCATCCTAGGTCTATGGGATCGATCATCAAAATGATTCTCATGATACATAAATCTAGATTACATAAATTTTGCCTCTTATTGATTGCATCACCAGAAAACCAATGGTTGCACTTTGCATCAAGTGATTGTGTCAGCCCATTTCTCCAAGCAACAGCAATATCAATGCCTTCTACACAAGATATATAAGGTTTTGAGGAAACTGTCTTGTTTTATTCACTGTCTTGTCTTAAATAACCTAAATAATTATTTCCCTTCACCATTTTGGTGTTTGCATTGAGCTAAAACAGATATAACCCTTGAAAAATTCATTATACGTTGTTGAATATAGTTGCAATATATGTGCCAAGTTAATCAAAAATCAGTTGAAGCTTTACTGAGATATAATGACTGAAAGTTGGAGAAACAAAAATACTCACCGGTGTACACACAGTCAGAGAGAATGTTTCTGGCGAAATTCTGGGACTTCAAATACTTTTAAGTTGGGAAACCGGAAGTGCTTACCTTTTTTAATTCCCGAATCTCTCCGAAATTAGCTCATCTTGGTGACTGTAAATTGCACAGCTGTATTCAATGGAGTCTTGTCATATTCGATCAGCCTCAATTTTAAAGTGTATATTTTATTTTCAACGTGATTTCATCGTTTTTTGTCGACTGGTAAAATCCGCGGGGCTAATGGCAAGATGGATGACTTTTGACCTGACCTTGACCGATGGTGATCACGTCATCAATATTACCAAGATGGCGGTTTCAAAATTTTCTAAAATCGCTTCAAATAATATTATGTTAATTCCTAGCGAGTAAAGATATCTCTTAGTTTGCTATTTCACAATAAGATAACGAAATGTGTAAGGAATTCGTATTTATCAATTAAAACATCACATCGACATTTGGTATTCGTAAACTAGACGATGAAGATAACGACCTCGAAAAAAACAAAAGAGCGAGTACGGGATTCGAACCCGGGCCTCCAGCGTGCTAGGTGAGGATTCTCCCCCTAGACCACCGATATATTACATATGGTATTGGGATTTAAACGCTACTTATCTTGAATGCTATGATTCGGAAGTGACGTCACGTTCTTCACGTTTTGTTTGAGAGCGAGAACGAGACGTGTCAGAAGCCCGGCTTTTTTGTCAGTCGACCTGTTCAAAGTACATTTAGTTATAATTATCGCTTTCCAGAACAATTTAGGAAACAATATTTTCTATCTACGTCGATTACAAAGCATCTAAGGTACGTAAATTTATATGAACAACTGAGTCAATAGGGATAAATAGCCCAACGAGAGTCGGCGGTCTTAAAAAATACTTGGATCTGGATGCCAGTCCTGGTATAAATATAGTTCCAGGGCAATTCGAAGAACGTATTAGATGTCCGTGGGTGTACACGCTATTTCTGTTTTCATAACATTGTGAGTCAAAAGCAAATTTAATTTACCAGTTTCAAATCTACGGTGTGATTCGACATTCGGAGCTGAACTATTAGACACTTTGGGGTCACAAAAAATCTAGGCCATTTGAACATTGCTCCTCGTTAGAATTTTTCAATTTTTGCAAAAATAAAACTTTTTATGGTTATAAGGATTTTTTGAGAAGTAAGTAGACTTTGCAATGAAACTTCTGCATTTGATTTGAAGCTCTTGAATCATTTTATAAGATTCATTTAGTAAATTTCTTCATGTATCAACATTTCTTACTAAAATGCATTTGTTATGATTTTTTCATGTCAGATTTATTTTCATTTTCATTGATTTTGACCATGGCCACCCATGTATGAATATAGTCCGGAGTAGGGATACTAGCGGTGGTTATTTAGTTTTCTGTATAAAAAAGCCTTTCTCCTTTTCTGTCCCGTCGCAGCGCCATCTAGTGTTTGATAAATGAATCAAGGTTTATTCTCGATAGGGTAAGTACTAGAGTCCATTTCACTGCTTCAGTTCGTCAGTAGAACGGCAAAAATAAGAAATTCGGAGACTATTGTGCAATAATATATGGAAAAGTATATTCATAATGTACATGAATGACATTTGTATATTTCAGATTTTTTAGTTTTTTGTGCAATAAGCCTGTGCCGTCTTGTAATTTGAAGAATTTCAGCCATGTTAATCTTATTGGAAATAGCATGGCAGAGAAACATCCAAATATAAGAGGCCACACACTTTATAAGCCAAACTAGAAGCAATCCAAGATATACAAATGTCATTCATGTACATTATGAATATACTTTTCCATATATTATTGCACAATGGTCTCCCAATTTCTTATTTTTGCCGTTCTACTGACGAACTGAAGCAGTGAAATGGACTCTAATCTATCAGGAAACATTTACAAGTTTGGTTAGAAACAGAATTTTTATAGATGGCGGAGTGATTTTTGAGACTATATAGAGCAGAATAATTTTCTGAAACAGGTAGCTTTACGGTGGTAGCTCTCTCCAGATTCAGTTATCTCAAAAACGGTGTGGTCACCGTATGCTTATTTTGTAACGGCAAGCTAGACAAGACTCCAATGAACACTGGGCACTGTTTCGCTGAGCTAGATCTGTGCCCATGAATATATTATGAAATGAAACGTTATAATGGTCGTCAATGGGATTTTTTACTGCAATCTTGACCCTATTAGCAACAGGGTGGTGACAGTACTAGGGTGGGAAATAGCGTTATTTTTGTAAAAATTACACTTTCTTAGCAATGTGTACCTTGCATCTCTAAGAAAAATCAAATCATCCGAAGAATTAGCAATTTAGATTTTCGCTGATTCAGCATTTTTCATTTTTTACCTAAAATCACAGGTTTTGACCATTTTTGGCCTGTATTTTGTTACAGGATAGCACAAGAGGGCTGTTAGTGCTGGTTTTAAGAGGTTGTTGACAGGCTTTTATCAAATTATTACCGAATCTAAGGATTCAGCCATTATCAGAGCATGTAATACAGCTTTTTCCTTTGTGTCTGAATTTTTCTTGAAAATATATGACAAAATTGACACATTTAACCCCATAGACTGACCAAATATGGCTGAAAACAGTTACTAACATGCATGTAATTAAAACAAGAACATTGCTTTGCAAAACTGATATGATAATTTAATATAGAAGCTCATTTACTGAAAATTAATCACTAAATAATGGCTAATTTGGGGTAATCTTTGACCGAAAATGACTAGATTTGACCATTTTTTTGTCTTATGGTTCAGTGATTTTGGCAATAAACATTATGGAAGTACGAATAAACGTTTTGACATGCTAAATATTGTGAATTTTTGTTAAGCCATAGCGAGTAGCAGTATTTCTATTGCAAAAATGGTCAGTTATGTATAAAACTGCATGGCCCTAAAATAAATGACCCCGGGGTTAACAAAGCAGCTATAAAAGCTCTTCTATTGGTGCGATTGGGCTTAAATTGCACAAAAAGTCTTGAAACACTCTAATGTTTAAGAAAAACAAGATTTCTGGCACAAAATCATTCAACCGTGTCACTATTAGAATATAGTCCGGAGTAGGGATACTAGCGGTTACCGTTGGTTATTTGGTTTTCTGTATAAAAAAGCTTTTCTCCTTTTCTGTCCCGTCGCAGCGCCATCTAGTGTTTGATAAATGAATCAAGGTTTATTCTCGATAGGGTAAGTACTAATCTATCAGGAAACATTTACAAGTTTGGTTAGAAACAGAATTTTTATAGATGGCGGAGTGATTTTTGAGACTATATAGAGCAGAATAATTTTCTGAAACAGGTAGCTTTACGGTGGTAGCTCTCTCCAGATTCAGTTATCTCAAAAACGGTGTGGTCACCGTATGCTTATTTTGTAACGGCAAGCTAGACAAGACTCCAATGAACACTGGGCACTGTTTCGCTGAGCTAGATCTGTGCCCATGAATATATTATGAAATGAAACGTTATAATGGTCGTCAATGGGATTTTTTACTGCAATCTTGACCCTATATAGTGTAAACCAAAGACCTAATAATGTGATGAAAAGTTAGAAAAGTTTTCTAAAATGCAACAAATGTGTTGCAAGCTAAGTTACAGTAGCTCCACTTCAACTTGTAAGGTTCATGAGCTTATCGCTACCTACGACCCCTTTAGATTGTGGTCGTACGCACGTATAATTGGTCAGTCAATGTTTTTACAAAGTTGGAGAAAATACTATGCATTGCACACCTAAATGACCTACCTCGATACATTCCTTAGTAATTTAGAATTCTTTTTATGTTGTTAGATCGCCAATTGTATGGGTTTATCGGCAGAACGAAGAGGTTTTCGTTTTTGATAGCAATATTTGCGTGTAATATTTAACTTATTTCAACCGTCAAATTCCTCCATTCCCAGGCATGCACCAGTCATAAAGGAAATCCCTGGGGAATTCCCCTTCCGACATTTTGAAAATTGCTGATATATTCCCAATGTAAAAACTAAAATCTCTTCGTTCTGCCGATAAACCCATACAATTGGCGATCTAACAACATAAAAAGAATTCTTAAATACTAAGGAATGTATCGAGGTAGGTCATTTAGGTGTGGAATGCGTAGTATTTTCTCCAACTTTGTAAAAATATTGACTGACCAATTATACGCGCGTACGACCACAATCTAAAGGGGTCGTAGGATGGGATAATCATGAGCAAGGAGGATATGTTCCCAGGGTTCAACTCAATATTTTTAATTTCAAAGCATAATATTAGGCCAAAGTTTGATTTAAGGGGCCCAACACTTTTTTGCCCAAGCGCAGAATTTTTTTATCACACTTCAAACTTGCCCCCCCCCTTGTTGGTTCACCCGTGAAAAGAATGGCCAATATTCTAGTGACCTTGAGCCCCTTGACCGATATTGATGACAACTGTAATATTGAAAATGTTGTTATTGTCTGCTATTAAAACTAAACTGGCTATGAATTAATAATCAGCAATCCAAAAGATCTGAACTAATATCTTGATCACTTGTTGTGCATTTTTAAATGTTTTGTTTGGAAATAAGACCACAACTCGCAATTTAAATGCTGAAGTGAATAAATCAAAGCTGTTTAATTTTAAATTTTGTAATCACAACATGACATGACCATATATGGCAAAATATCGAGTTGGAACCCTGGGAATCCTTTGTCCATGAGCTATTGCATGGCCCAGGAACATGTACAGTGTAATTAATGTAAAATTTAAGTTTGTCCTCTCAGAGTCTCTGAGTCCCCTCATAAAATATTTTTTCTTAAGGGACTTGATTTTTTAATTCATGATCCTGGGCCTATGAGTTTAGGGGTGTTTCTGAACAATGTTTCCTTTTTGAGTAGCAATTTTTAAACTGCCTCCAAATGTGGCTAAAGTTCTACATAATACACTTCAAGGAATTTCAAGGACATTAGCTTCATCAGTATATCATTATTATTTTGAAATTTTATAATTCAACCATTGACTGTCCCCAGCATCATCCTTCATGTTACTTTATATAAAGCACCACCCTTGTTGTAAACCCAGTATGCCATTTACATTCTACAATAACATTGTTTTCAGGATTGAACCATAAGTTCCAAGTGAGCACCTGCACCAGACCTCAAGCTCGATGATTCCATGATATCAAAACCTTGGGAAATCGTGTACATATAAAGGACATGTTAGCAGATTCAAAATTGATTTTTATTAGCATAAAGGAATATCAGGTATACAGAATGGTTACATTGATTAGTGCTGAACAAGTATAGAGAGACGAAGAAGACTGTTCACGCACCACCCACCTACATCTTTGTTCTCCATGTGCTTTTTTGCCAATGCCATGTATGCTAAATCCCACATGGATTGACTTAAGATGTGAAGACTGAAGAGCCCACACGATTTAGAACAGATCTAATACTGCATCAAAGAATAACTCGGACAATAAATCAAGAACAACATGTTTGGTGGTTACACTGATATTGCCCAGTTCTACTGGGAGAGTGAAGACACAGAGAAAGACCTTCCCCATGAGCTTCTTCCAAACTATGACACACCAGATCCTTGGAGTCTGAAACCAACGATAGAACATGACTTTATTCTAATGGCTGAGTTCTCAGAGTTGGAGGGACCAAAACCTTTGGTAATATAATAGTACAACATCACCACTTGGGCGAACATATCCATGCTCCTTCACAGAAAAGAGTTCAAGTCTGTTTTGCAATACAAAGCATATTCTCGAAATCATAATTCACGGTTAAAAAAATAGATTAAATATATTCACAAACAATTATGAGTATGACTTAGACAATCAACTAGAATATTTTCACTCATCTGAAATGTAAAATGTGAAATTTCCTAAAGTACTCCGATGTTATGGCCATTCTTAATGACTTTGTTGTCAAACTGTCATTACTTTTAAAACATCTTTGGGACTTTGAATCTAATGCTTTTATCAGAAAATGTCAATATCAATCAAAATGTTTTCATTTGTGTAATCTTCAATTATTTTACATTCCAGATTACAGTGCCATCTGACTGTGGGACAACTTTAGATTTGAATGCCTTTGTGGTGAGAGTAATGTCAACAGACTATCAAACCACACCTCAAACATCGTAAGTTGGAAGCTACAGTAAGGATTCTATCCTAGATAAAGGCCGATAAAGTGACGCTACTTGTAATTTAAGCATTGACTTGAAAGTTGAAAGGTCACTAATACCAATAGTTTTGGTATTAGTGATGGTGAGTTTTAAGAAATAAAGAATTCAGAACTTTTGTTCAGATTTGAAAATTGGACCACACAATAACCATGTCAATTTTTCCCAGTAGATGCTAGAATATCAGGATCTTGGTTGGATTTTATGGACATCATGCATACACTGACATATTTGTCCTGTTCAAAGTCAAACTACACAAGCATGTTATAAAAATGAAAATGAAAGAAAAAAGGATATTTGAATCAATTGTCATATTATTTTTGCTTTGCAGAGGTCATTTTACAATAATGGAGGACACATCAGTGGTGATGAATGATTCAAAATTTGGCATATCTGCATTTGTAAGTGTTTTTCAAAATGTTGTATAGAATCTTGAAAATTTGGTTTTTAGAGTATAGTACTTAAATTTGAAATACTTGATCTATTGTTGTTTTTAACTCGTTTTATTGTTTTGTTCGGCAATTATGTAACTTTACATTATGACTATATGCATATGTGCATTGACTTTATGATTGGCTAAAATATCTCATTTGCATGTTTTTTTGTTATTGTTACAGGCATATCATTTTACTCTGTATGATACTGAAGCACGGGGATTTGTGCGGCCATTTTGTATGTGCTACGTCACTGCTGACCACAGGTACATGTAAATTTATATATAAGTTGTGCAGAAAGAATTATTGAAAATATACATACTATTTTTCTTGAATTCTTCCAACAGAATTTGTTCCTTGCCAAATAGTTGTGTGATAATTAAGAAGAATATTAACCATATCTTATTGAATACAATGAAATTTGAAAATTGGGAAAATTCTTAAGTATTAATTGATCCTTTTTTCAAAAATGAAATTGCCAATTTTACAGAAAACTGTTTTTACAAAATTAGGGAATTGACTAAACATCAGTATTTGCACTTCTTTTCTTGTTTTTAGAAAAATTATGCCTTTCTACAAAGAAATGTCAGATGAATTGAAAAAGGTGAGACTCTCTTATATATTCCAAACTATGTCACACAGATTATTTAAAGAGCAATATTATTAATTATCAGATTAAGAGCAGCAAAAATTCTGTCTTTCGGGTTGTTATTGTCATATGATTTAATTCTTATTCATGCCTATTTTCTGAAAATTCCCAAATCTTCATTCAAGGTTATACGAAAATTTTAACAATTTGTCCTTCATTTTAAATGTTAATACTTGTATATCCATATGGATTACAATTTCTAACAAATTCTCATAATTTAAAGTAAAGTGAAACATGTATACCCAGACACCTCCCTAATCTGAACACCTCTCAATATAAATGCTTTGTTTGGTCCCATTTTTAAGCTGTCATTGTTAAAAAAACACCTGCCAATGTAAACACTTTGGCCAGTTCCAGCGGCAAGATTTTAATGTATTCAAATGTAATTAATGTGTGATTCTCTCTTTAATTTGATACAGGTGTCTAGATACTTGAAGTATGGAAACTTGATGCTGTTTTTACATGACTTGCAGTGTTTGCTGGCTGACCTGAATTACACAAAGGGTAACATTTGAACCTCTCTTTCTACCGTGTGAATTATATTGACCAGTTATTACAATGGTGAAAATATCTGTTGTTAGATCCTTGCTTTCCGACATTAGTAAATTAAGATTTGATATAGCATTGTTAGTTCACTCAATGAATAAAAAAATTAAAAATTGAAATGTACTAGTATGTAATGAAATATAAGTGTATGAGTATAAGTTAAGTGGAGAAATTAGTACCTTCAGTGAGGATGTCACCAGATTTCATTCTGTGTTTTCATTAACTACACTACATAGGGAGCATTTACCAGCTGTCCCTCATTACTTGAGCATCAGGCTTTGATCTGAGGGTCTAATGTATCATTCCCACATAGGGCATTGTATTTAGCACACTTTGTTTCATGCCTGTATCTGACTTGTTGCAATACTCCCGGCTTTTGTCATTCCCTGGAGGCACCCTCGGGTCATTATGTGAGGGTCTGATGTATGATTCCCACATAGGGAATTGTATTTACAGTAGCACACTTTTTCCATATCTGTATCTGGTTTCAATACTCCCGGCTTTTGTCATTCCCTGGAGGCATCCTCGGGTCATTATGTGAGGGTCTGATGTATGATTCCCACATAGGGAATTGTATTTACAGTAGCACACTTTTTCCATATCTGTATCTGGCTTCAATACTCCCGGCTTTTGTCATTCCCTGGAGGCATCCTCGGGTCATTATGTGAGGGTCTGATGTATGATTCCCACATAGGGAATTGTATTTACAGTAGCACACTTTTTCCATATCTGTATCTGGCTTCAATACTCCCGGCTTTTGTCATTCCCTGGAGGCATCCTCGGGTCATTATGTGAGGGTCTGATGTATGATTCCCACATAGGGAATTGTATTTACAGTAGCACACTTTTTCCATATCTGTATCTGGCTTCAATACTCCCGGCTTTTGTCATTCCCTGGAGGCATCCTCGGGTCATTATGTGAGGGTCTGATGTATGATTCCCACATAGGGAATTGTATTTACAGTAGCACACTTTTTCCATATCTGTATCTGGCTTCAATACTCCCGGCTTTTGTCATTCCCTGGAGGCATCCTCGGGTCATTATGTGAGGGTCTGATGTATGATTCCCACATAGGGAATTGTATTTACAGTAGCACACTTTTTCCATATCTGTATCTGGCTTCAATACTCCCGGCTTTTGTCATTCCCTGGAGGCATCCTCGGGTCATTATGTGAGGGTCTGATGTATGATTCCCACATAGGGAATTGTATTTACAGTAGCACACTTTTTCCATATCTGTATCTGGCTTCAATACTCCCGGCTTTTGTCATTCCCTGGAGGCATCCCCCGGTCATTATGTACATTATGAATATTATCATTCCCAATATCCCCTCTAATAATCCTGTTCTATTAACAGAGAAGTATGTGGAGTGGGAACGAGAGCAGAATGAGAAAGCAGAGGGAGAGAAACACAGCTCAACAGATGGCGCTAGTGTCTCTGAAGAAGACCGTCTTTTTTCCGCCACAAGTCTTGCCAATATTTGTAATATAATGCTCGAAACAGAGGCCATATTGGACAAAGTAAAACCACTTTTAGTGAGTCAAAAGTTCAGTTTTATTACTTCTGACATTTAGAAAATATTTTGTGAGAAGAGATTGCTAAAATGTTCCAAAAGGTGATCTTTGAAGATATCCTGATTATGACATCATGAATTTTCTTAACAATCAAAAACTAAGAAAAAGGGAAAAGTCACTCCAAAGTTCCCAGAGTCATCAGGTGTTTTTGAGATAGATTAACTTAATAATGTATGTAATAATGCAGCAGAAACACCAAAACGGTGCTCTGTGGCACTTTCACATTTTGATACATGTGAAAATCCCTAGTGTGTGACAACTCATTTTATATGCCCTATTTGACTCAATCTGCCGTATTCTCTCTAATGAGCGCACAGTTCCACTGAGCACACATGCAAATATTATTTTCAATATGGTCTCAAGAAAACATGTGTTTTCTCCTCTAGAACGACAGTAGACTAGAAAAGAAGTTCAATAGGCTAGAGGAGAAGGCTTTGGGACGGGACCAGGAATTGACAGCGAATTCTCACGAATCAGGAAGTCTCAATGAAAACCTAACAGATGATTATGCCGCACCATGTAAGAAATGTAAGTATAATATCATGAGCGTTGCAAATATATAGCATCCTTTATAATTATTTTTTCTCATCAGCCAACTATATGGGTTATATTTCAGCAAACTATGTCTTAAATTGAGCCTAATTAGAAATACAGAACTACAACTACATTGTATGTATAGATAGGAGACTTACAATAACACAAAGGTTTTAACTGTTTCCTTTGGGTTATTCCTTTGGTAGTTGGTGTCCAAGACAAATGGCATGTGGTGACATTTTGCATGTTAATGCCTTGTTTTAATCATTTACTCTCTCATGTTAAAGACAATAGAACAAGGTGAACACAAACATGGCGATAGTGCTAAGCTTATAAAATAAACAGATCACTACTACCATCTTTATGTCGACTTTGTAGTCACGATCAAAGTGCCAACAAAGACTAATTCCAAAATATGGGTTTTCATTTTTAATTCAGCCCTGGGGGGTTCGGGGGCCCCTGGCCAAATATTCTTTCAAAGTCATGCAGGTTTTTGTTAAGTTAGAACCCCCCCCCCCCCTTGACAAAAGCTGAATTAAATTCAGAAAAAACTAAATTACACTTTTAGTTTGGTGACTAATGTTACCGGCCTTCGATTTCTAGAAAAAAAATGTTACCCAGCAGTTATTAACTTGTTAAAGCTGACCAAGGTTTATGGTATCCTATTAATGTTTTTTCAGCTGGTTCATTCTCAGACCTTCATGCCATACTACATCCTTTACAGAAGTTAGATACGTATAAGGTATGTGAAGTTCATATATTGTAATACCATCAGTATCTTATAATCATCTCTTATCTTGAATTCTTTGTTCATAGTCATGTACCCAGTTTTAACTCATTCTATTCATCCCCTTTCTCTAGAATCTCTTTTCTATTTCCAATTTTTCCAAGATCTTAGGTTAAAACACTAAAGATGTTCATAGCATACAAATGTAAGAACATTCCAAGCTATAAAAATTCCTCATCCATTTTGGTAACCACGGAAATCACAACAGAAGAGCTAGAAATATTGAAAGTCTAAACTTCACAAAGTATTATGATAATGCCCCCTCGATAATTAACATTAAAGATTTAGGTCTTCAAATTATTTTCAGCCTAAACTGATGAAATGCTCAAATCGTAGGGTGTTTGATACATCATTGAGGAATCTACATGGTCTTTGCAATTGGGGAGCTAAGGAAGGGCTCAACAGACTCCGCAGTGTTCACAAGGTACAGTACGTTGTCACATTAACTCAAAATAAAACCAGTTCTGATTTTGAAAGTAGATAAAATGACATTGCATACCTCTTCCTCTTCTATTGTCCACACCAATTATGAAAGACTTGGATAATTTTACCTCTATAGTAGAAAATTTCTCATCTGTCATGATCAAGGTCCAAATAAGATGACATCAAAGCAGAAACAATACAAGAAAGTGCCTTAAGATAAGATACATATGCTGAGAATTATGTCAGGGTTCGAAACTCACAGCTGCATGACTGCTTATGGCAATCACTTTTGACTCTTTTCTGAATGAACTTGGAAAATGAGTTGCCCTTTGGCAATGTACTGATGAATCACAATAAGTTAAATTGGGCAATGTTTTCAACCTTATTATTCTTGAACCCTGTTTTCTGTAAATTTCATAATTACTATTAAAAATTATTTCAGTTGTATTTTTTAAGTTTTTATGTGGATATATATATAATATAATAGAGTACATTGTGTCTGTAGCTTTATCCTATGCCAAGTAGAGTTTTCGGGAGATAAGTTGGTAAGATATCCTGTATCCTGATTTTGAGGTTTCCATATCCAGAACCTCCATATCTCCCGCCATATCTCCCGCTTCGGTGCATATCTTCCCGCTTCCGGTAAGTAGTGGAAATGCATTAAAATGACTTTGCATATGAATGATTTGTTTATTTTTACACCTTGTACTACTGAAATGGCCATATGCCCCTGAAAACTCTACTTGGTATAGGATAAAGCAGTTATGTACGGTCGGTTTAGATATTGGGTTCATCCCTCGTGAGATATGCACATCTACCTTCGGTCCCTACGGTCCCTCAGGTAAATATGCATATCTCCCTCTGGATAAACCCCATATCCAAAACCTCCCAGTACATAACCCCTATATATTGTATTGGATTGTATATTTATTGCCTCATTTATATGAGAGAATACAGCTTCCTTCCATACTTCACAAGCTTTTATGTTGCAGTATTTTAGACGAGATCTCTCAACATTACAAATAGAAAGAGACCAATCCAAACTTACTCAACCACCCAGTACTTTACTCTCTATAGGCAACTGTGTTAACATCAACTACCTTCATGGAATCGACTTGTAAGTAAAAACAAGCAAACACCTTAAATACAAAATAGTACAGAGTTAAGATCTTAATGATGTGTATACGGAATTTATTATTTTTTGTTCTAATCGTTCCTCAAAAGTTGAAATTTATAAATTAAGTGTAGATTGAAATAAAAACAGTAAATCTGTGACCAAATACCTTTTTAAGTCGAACATTTCCATAAATGAAACACTTTTCTGAGTTCCTTTTCAGTTTCCTTTCCTTTTCTATCAATATTAAATGAACCTCTGTAAGTGGAACAACTCCCAAATGGAACACTTTTAGAGCACAAGGCTTTCTTTATAAATCAGCATGGTTTTAAATTTATTTTAAATTTATTTTCAGACAGTCTGATGAAAAATGTTTAGACAAAAATCGCAATTCTGCTGCAAACAGCATCAACCATCCGACAACAAACCTACTACGAAGATGGCTCTCCGATGAAACTTTGGCGAGTTATAAATCAACCGAGTCGTTTCTGTCATTTAGTGGAGGGACACCTGACAGTATATATGTCACACCTAACACACCTGGAACCTCTAATCCAAGGTCACATCTGGAACCAGCCTTTGTAATGGGGAGTGCATATTTAGGTGAGGAATTTCAATGACAAGATTTTGTATCATCTTTCCTCTACATATATTTAAAAAATAGGTAGTTGATATTTTCAGAACTATTATGTACAAATATGAAGCAGTATGTTTCCTCGTTTTTTCATTTGCATGTCATCTTTCATGAATGTAAATTTTTTATGTCACAGCACCAGAAGTGGTGACATATTGTTATAGTCTCACTATCATTGTATTTTTCAGGTCAAACACCAAGTTCACAACAAAACACTATAGGCAGCTTTGAAAATATTCCATCCTTTAGTCATTCCCATAATGCACCAGTGCCCCAGCAGATGTCTCATAGTATTGATGCTGCAGGCAGTATCAATTCAGACTTCAGTGATATTTCAGCCACAGGTTAGTGAAATGTGAACTGTTCCTTTAGTCATTCCCATAATGCACCAGTACTTCAAGCAGACGTTTCATAATGTTGATGCTGCAGGCAGTATCAATTCAGACTTCAGTGATATTTCAGCCACAGGTTACTGATATGTGAACTGGTCCTTTGGTCATTCCCTTAATGCACAGTATTTCATGTTTTACAGTGTTGTTGCAGGCAATATCAATTCAGACTTCAGTGATATTTCAGCCACAGGTTACTGATATGTGAACTGGTCCTTTGGTCATTCCCTTAATGCACAGTACTTCATGTTTTACAGTGTTGTTGCAGGCAATATCAATTCAGACTTCAGTGATATTTCAGCCACAGGTTACTGATATGTGAACTGGTCCTTTGGTCATTCCCTTAATGCACAGTACTTCATGTTTTACAGTGTTGTCGTTGCAGGCGATATCAATTCAGACTTCAGTGATATGTCAGCCATATGTTATTGATATGTGAACTATTCCAGGGCCATCAGACATTTTCCATCATGGGGTTTAGGGCAGGTTTTTCCCTAAAGTATATATGACCCATTGTATTCATACAAATGAAAGTATCTTTTTGTAATCTCAAATATTGTCCATCGTTTAAAATTGTTTGCTCATAAAACTGAACACATTCCCAATTGTCATGAGGCATGAACTAGTAAATATTTATATTGTAGTAGTACTGGCTATAGTGTGCAAAGCGAGTCATTATTGGAAGATTTAAATAAATTTTTGCATTACATAGCAGATAATAAGAATGAAATATATCTATGATTTAGATTTATAATGCAGCTATATATGAATACAGTAATCATTTGCTTTTTTCTGATATTCATTTATTTCATGATATTTTTGATGACAGGAAAATTTAATGATTTCCTTGTTTCCAGAATCCAATATAGATGTCTCCGAACATGGGTCAAGTCAAGACCAGAATGAGGCTACTGATGACCTTGACATCAATGACCTTGACCTTAAACGAACAAAAGTGATAATAAGTGCTGCCGACCACATCAGTCAGTTTAACCCACAATCAATTGGTAAATAAAATACAAATTACAGTAAAAAATCTACATACACCTTTTCTTAACACCTCTCACTGAAAGTGAAAGTAAAAATGAACTTTTACTTTGGTCATGGGCTTTCAACTAGAAGGGTAGGCAACTTCCCATATTTCATACATAAGCATTGACTTTGAGTTTTCGAAATTGAATAATGTACACATTCCAAGAAAATCTTATTTTGTACTTTTTATGGATGATTTAAAGAAATAACTAAAAAATGAAAACATGATTATCTACATACATGTTGATAATTAAATAGAAAATGGAATTCATCATTATTATGACAATACAGAAAGTGAACATTCTCCCACAAATTATACTTTTATTGGAATGTGTTCCTGAATAATTACCCACCATGCAATACTCGAAGAGAACATTTTGATACCTCTTATTCTTATTGGTCTTTTTTGTTTACTTTTACTTGAGATTGAATATATTTTATGCTTTAATCATATTGAAAATTGATTTTTATTCAAAATAATACTTAAAGATAGATTTATCTAATACTTTTTGAAATATTACCATAAAAGGGAAGCATGGCATTGCTCATTTTGAAGGTCTCATGTCATTACACAGAGTTGCATACCCTTCTAATTGAAAGCCCATGCTTTGGTCTATTTTGAATTATATTTAATGCTTTAAATATAACTTCTTAACAAGGTATTCCAAATTGTCATCATTATGAAATCCTCGTGACATTTTCAACTTATGTTGTTTTCAACCATGTTGTACACAACAAAGCATTAAAAGTACATTTCCAAGGTGCATTATGGATGTGTAATAATACACTCCCCTCAGTAACTTTGGAAACCGAGTCCCTTTTGGACGACTTATCAAAATTGTCATAAATTTCCCAACTTTTGTAATAAAGGAACATACAACTACAGAAATTGAGCATCCAGTGAAAACTTGCCAAACTTATAGATCAGAGTGTACGTCCAGTGTATTTGATCAAGATGAATGTCAATAATTTACATTTTACATTTTATATGTTATAAAAATGATCTTGAGATTTTGAGATTTTGAAAGCCCATTTGTACCCACCTGAAAATGAGAAGAATCGTGTCAATCTGTCACTTTGTGTGGTACTTGTTTCACTCGCTGCACTAGTTGTACTCTTAGATGTTTCAATCTTTTCTGTTTTCTAACACAGTTTTTTCCCCATTGACAATAATGCATACCATATTTGCTCTAATACACATTTACGTATTATGTTCATGTTTTGAGTAAAAAGATTCTGGGAAAACTGCACAGCACATTGTAATATTTTATATTTGTATAAAATGAGAGTCATGTGATGAATGCACATGTACAGTATTCAGTCATAATGATTGAACACACTGAGTGTTGTTTGAAAGCTCATCATTTGATTCATGTATATATTATACCATGCATTACTGCCTGTAGGCAATTTTTGGTATTTTTATCTAGATATTCATTTAATTTACTTGCAGGTTATGGTATTCTAGAATTTGCGCATAAGTACACGTTGTTTAGCCCCCACTTGCTGTATAGTCTACTCAGTGGCCACACCACTGTTGTCATAGGAAATGCTAGTCATGAGAGAGAGGTCACTGCAATAGTCCGTGCTCTACATATCTTTGTCCCTGGTCATTCCTTGTAAGTACATATTCTATGTTTACATTTTCTGTACAAGCTCTAAGGCTGCATTTTTGTATATGATTTTTTGACCGCGAGCAAAATTTTATTCTAAAAATTAGCTAGATTGTGTAATACGGCTGTGTCAGTCTTTTCCCTCGCCCTCGCAAAGGCTAGTTACTGGTGCACCACAGGATTTCCATTGAAATGGTATCAAGCGGGGATTTACTGCAATTAACCATGGTGAATTGCCCCAAATGTATTTCAATACATGCAAAGTCCATGGTGGTCGTAGATCTGTTTTTTGTTAATATTCGCGGTTAAAACAGATTAAATATTTTGAAACCGTATCAAATTCACTCACTCCTTGGTTATATGAAAATATGCCCTTAGTCAAGTGCAACTATGATAGAAAGGGAATGGGGGCTTCTAGACAAAGTTGTTAGCGATCCATGTCATGGGTTAGGGTTTCACAGAGGTATTATCGTGCATGGTTATGAACGTCAAGCATGACTAATTCAATTTTGCAAAAATAGCTTGCTTTTGTAAATATACAGTAACACCTTTGTACATTGAACACCTATCACAAAAATCAGTTCACTATAGGTAGGTGTTCACTACAGAGAGATAATTTTATACAGACGTCAGTATACAGAGTATGTGCTGAGAGGAGGTGTTCACTAGACATAGTAGTTCACTTGAGAGAGGTGTCCACTAAGACAGGTTTTACTGTATGGTGTCATTAGTTATTTGGAGTCATCACTTATAATATGTTAAGTACATCACAAGTTTAGATTATTGTTTCCTTTGTAAAATGAGAAAATGCAATTTCTTTACAAAGTCAAAAAGAAAAATGTCAAGTTAAATACTCAGACTAACTAAAATAAGATACAACTGAATGAAATATGCTCAAATGATTTAACTCAAATGTAAGTACCATTATCTGTTACATTTGATTGGCAAACAGTAACTTTGAAGTGTTGTGTTTTTTTGTCTCACAAAAGTTATGAAATCCATAGATTAAAACAAATATATTTCATAACTTTTTTGTGTCAATAAATACAAATAATTCACAATGTGAGAGTCATGATATTTTTGTTTTAATCCTTCCTTGTTGATGAATTTCTAGCAAATTAAAAGCTTTTACTTAAAAGTACTGCACCTCTCTTGATATTCTAAATGGAGTCACTTCAACTTTAAAAGTAATCCTAGCATCTTCACATCGGGTCAAATTCTTGAGACGATGTTTGACGATTTATAACTTCTTTAGGAGTCGCATGACACGTTTTTATATTTTTTAAACGTGATCAATCAGCATACTGAATATGAGCTGAAGCCACTGCTTTGATTTGAATGTATGTTTCTATGTGATTTTGAAGTGCTTTATTGTTTTCTGGTACGTAACTACTTTACAATCAAGTTATTTATCCATGTGTACATGCACATATGTAATCATTTAGTTATTCAAATGTCTCGCAATATATTTGTTCGTGACTCATTCATATATTCATAGATCGTCAGCTGTTCCAACGTTCATTTTTCCTTGAAATAGATTTATACGTTCTTGTATCAAACCTCTTCAAATGCTAACTCCTCTCATTTTACTTATTTTGTATGAAGAATAAATTAATTCAATGAATTCAATGAGAATGTGTAAATTAACATGCCAAAAGTTCATTTTACCAAGTCATCACAGTGGCATGGGGTTATTAGGTAAGGCAAATCTGTAACACCATGGGGGGAGCAAAAATGCTTAAAGCCACGGCCCTCCACAATTATGTATGAATTTAAATATAATTTATCATGCAAATAAAAACAATTAACCTGAAGTCTGTGATAATATATTACCATCTTGCAGGAACAATGCTTTTACATTTTTCGTATTCTGACGTTGCCCAAAAGTACATGCACATTAATTGCACTCAAGAGACATTTATTGCTGGTCTTGAGGATTATGTACAACTATGTGGGGGCCTATAGAGGGGGTCAATTATTAGGTTCATGTACCAAACTAGTGATCACTGTGACATTGATTTACCTCTGCAACTATGTCATGTTTGATTGCCCTAGAAATGCAAAGGCAGCAACACTTTAGATCAAATATTTATTTTAAGTAATTAGTGTCATATCTGTCGACTTTTGTGGACAAATGTAATATAAGATGTATCTGTATTATTAGAGGAAAATTCAAAGGGAAACATTTGAAAACTTAAAACAATGTAAAAATCACAATATCTTTTATGATTTAAATTTTTACTTAGCATTCATTCCTTGCTTTTGTCATTTTGACATCATTTCCTAAGCATAACATGGCAAAATAAAAAAAAACAGAAAGGAGCACATAGGTTATCGCAAACAGTTTCAGAAGGTTATATCTTGGATTATGACTATTTTCTGACAATGAAGACAGGTTTATCTTTTAGATCAATTCATTATCTCAAAGAAAATTATATACAGTAATAATAAAGTCAAACAAACTCGGAGATATTTAACTAGCAATCAACCCATCAACACACTTTTTCAAAGATGTTGACCCAATTTTCACCAAAAATGCAATCATTTTTTACAATGTTTAATGTATAACTATTCTTTATTTTGATGTATCAAATAGTTCTTGAAAGAAAAACTTAATTAGGTCAACATTTTTGAAAAAGTATGTTGATTGGTCCATTGCGCCTATAGGTCTGATTAACTAAATTATCATTATATATACTTTTCCTGAAGATAATGAATGGATCTAAAAGATACACCCATGTTCATGATCAGAAAATATTCATAATTCAAGTTAGAATCGTTTGAAATCGTTTGAAATTGTTTGCGATAACCTACATGCTCCTTTGCTAGCTTCATGATTTTGATGTTCCTGTGAATCTTATTCTCAAATAGTCATACATTTACCAATATCAGTTGATTTTCTAATATCAGTTGTTTGCTGATGTCAGTTGTTTGCTAATATGAGCTGATTGTAAATATCAGTCGACTGCTAATATCAACTGGTTGCCAATATTGATTAGCTGCCAATATCAGTTGATTGGGCAGTATAAGTTGACTGCCAATACTAATTGGTTGCTAATATCAATTGATTGCTAATATCACTTGATTGCTAACTAAAGTTTATTTTGTTTTAGTGATGCAGTTGTACCATGGAGAACAAAACCAATCAAAATGGCTGACATTGCACAGTTGAAACTTGTGGGACTGTGTCGTCCTCGGGGACGTCGTGTAGAATACATGGTGCCTCCATCTATACAAGAAGTAAGTATGTCATGTCAAATTGTTAAAGTGTGTATTATTTAGACAGAACATTGGGTTAGATCTACTGTAATAGTTTATAAAAGAGTGGCCGGAAAGATGAGAAAAACAACAAAAATTGTTGGATGTTGCGGCAGTTGCCCCTTTTAAAGTATAGTAATAATTCAGATGACACAATGCATTGTGGGTATGAATTATTATTGATCTTCTAAATAATTTATTGTGGTGAAGTGATCTGAAGCAGAAGGTCAATTGTCCCTAATTGAATATCAAGGTTTTACAATAGAAACTGTGGTAAGTCATTTTCCCTCTTAGTATCGCACTTTGATTATCATACTGTGTGATATTTATCAATGTGTGTCTTATTGTTTGTTTGTTGATTTGTTTGTTTTTTTGATTTTTTGTTTGCAAGTATCAGTGCTTTGCTATTATGCATAGGGAAATATCTCCAAAAGTATATGGAAAATGTGGCTTTAAGTCCCTTAGGATACTAAAATTAAGATTCAAGAATTTTGTAGGCTTCATTCAGTATAATGTTATAAATTGTTTAAAAGTCTAACAATTTGATATATGGCAAGTATATTTGTTTGCATCTCAAGAAATATCTTGTTAAAACATACATGATGGGTCAAAACTCAAAATGCTTGTTAAACATAAAGCATTTTGTTTCACAATAGACTGACGTCAATACTTCATAGACCAATAAACTATCTTGATGTTAACATCAATTAAGTCCTATTCTTTAAAATGAAATTGCATCCTGTTTCTGTCTTTTTGAATTTCAAAACAATGTTTTTGTTGATTTATTTCCAATTCTAACAATGTTGATTTTAAACATTTCTATTTCCTTGTTGATTTATTTTTATCTGCAGGTGTGTTTTGTGTTCAAATGAAAGTCTGAGCAAAGTGTGCGTTTTGTATGGGAGCTTTGTTTGTCTTAATTATGGTCCTAAGATCTAAAGAGATCAGATGATCTAAAGTCAGATGACGTATGCAGGTCCGTTCAAAGGTCACACATCAGATATGAATGTTCAACATTAATTTTTATTCTTTGATTATAACATTCAGACTTTGCGTGTATGACATCCCATTGTGCATATTATCCAAATAATGTGAACCAATATACCAAAAAAACGTGTCGCCTTAGGAATAGGACGGAACCACTATTGTTCCCCCTATTGTTCAAGTCAATAAAGTAAGATATAAGCCTTCAAAACGAGTAGAACTAAATCTCTGAGAACAGACCTCGCAAGGTGGTGATACTATTGTTTACATTTATCTGCAAAATCTGTTCAATAACTAGAAAAAAGTATATACATTTTTCTTCATGCACTCATGTGTTACTGTAAAATGTTTAAGTAAAATCTGTCCAATCTGAATGCCACTCGGAATGACAAAAGATGTTTCAATTAGCATGTGTTTACATTCTGAGGTTTTTGCACGAAGAAACCTATGAAAGATTAAAAAAATGAGATGCCAATAAAGCATTAATACTGAGATATGTTCAGGTACTAGGTGTATGGATATACATGTTATACTTGTATTATTGTACAGTAAAATCTGCTGAATCCTAATGCCTCTCGGACAGGCAAAAAGTGGATTAACAGGTGTTGTCATTTCAACGTTTTTCATTAGTCAATGGGAGAAAAAAGTAGAACGGAGAAAAAGTGTTCAGATTAGGAGGTGTATAGATAAGAGTTAGAGAGGTGTTCAGAAATACAAGTTTCACTGCACTTGTTTATCAACATCAATTTTTCTATCACAAAACATCATTGTTAAACATCAGAGTTTATCACTGCAGTCATGTAAGATTTTTTGCTGCCTCCCCCTCCCAAATACAGTGAAACCTGCAAAGTGGAACACCTCTGTAAGTGGAACACTAACATTAGTTGAACATTTTTCAAAATCCTGCAACCTATTTTTTCTTATTATTAAATGAGCCTCTTATATCTTATCTATCCTCTCTATCTGTGGAATACCTCCCAAGTGGAACATTTTAGAGGTACAAAGTGTGTTTCACTTACAAAGGTTTACTGTAGTTACTAAATGAATTCACATTCATTGTAACATTGAATAATGCATTGCATTGTTTTTTGTAAAATGAAAGAACTGCAAATATTTACCCCAACCCCTACCCAATTCTATATATAGGTCATAAGTGATGAATTCCATTAATTGTTTTAGGTTTTGTATGAAATGTAGATATTTACCCCTATTACAAAACTCAGTGTTCATGAATATACAGGTTACCCATTTATTTATTTAGAACATTTATATTCTAATCTTAATTTATTTTAAACAATATCCCAATGCTTTTTATATTGCTTTTTCGTTTAGCTTTACATTCAATGAAGTTCAGACTAATAAATATTTCACTGAAAATAACTTGAGTTTGTACTTTTAAAATCATAAGATTTTACTTCATATATATCACTCATATTTTTGCCAATTCTAAAGTTTGAGGATATGCCAATAATTTCAAATACATACTTGTTGGAATTTATGATTTTCAAATTCTATGGAATTTGATATATTATGTCAAAAATCTTAAAAACATAGAATTTTTATTGTAAATATACCCTTATTGTTTTTTGTATTTACTCTACTCTGATTTATGATACTTGGACCCCCTAAATGGTACAATTGAATTCGTTTAGCCATATATCACTAAAAAAACACTTGAAAAATGAACTATATAAGAAGTAGATTGTTACATCTTTAGTCCATTTAATGAACTGACAGAAGATCATTTCATAAAGAATCGAAGAATTTTAGATGATGTTTTATTCGGCGAGTTTTTTGATCGTTTTTGCTGTTTGCGCTCATGGCTTCTCATTCCAGAAAAGACAAACTGATGGTATGTTGGATATTTTTGAAATATTTCTTTTATTTTTATGGATATTTTTTACATCATCTTCAAAATGTTTTTTTTCTGCCTTGTTTGACTGAATATTTCAAAGTCAGTTTTTGATTAATATGAAACTATGTACATTTTATGTTATTTTTACTACATAGCAAAAAGCATCTTATTAAACACTCGTGGAAGTGAAAATGTACATGACTAGTCTTATTTTAAATGGGGACAAGGTCTTATATAAATGATGATAGCCATTCTTAAACCTCAATGAGAATTGGGTTAGGTAAAAATTGCTAGGAAAGCTAGGAAGTCTTTTTAGTAAAGAAATTGATATTATAAATATATCCCTAATTATTTTGAAATTTGTAGATGCAAAGTGGATAGATATTCCTGGAGCATGCTTGTATATGGACAACATAGAAATCCTTAAGCCTGTTGATACTATGGATGCATGTAAGAAGCTTTGCGAAGATGAGTCAGAATTTACATGCATGTCCGTTGACTACAATGCTGGAGCCAAACAGTGTCAATTGCAGGAGAAATACTCAGTAAATGGCCAAATGAGTGACCCTTGCCATGCTGGACCTGCATGGAGCTATGCTGAGATTTCTGTTGAAGGTATTTTTTTTGTTAATTAACATTTCACATTTTGTTTATCAAAACTGATAAGAAATGAAACTTTATTCAAATATTCTTCAAATTGAAAGCACCATAAAATTCACACCCATTTTTGCACTGATTGCTTATTCTTTTCTTTTGTTTTTAGGGACAATAGATATTTCTGTAGATAATGGATATGATTTGTTTGTGGATGGGGTCAAGTTAGGATCTGCCAAGGATTGGAGAAATGCAGAGCGATACACAATTGACTATCCACAGAATGCGCAAGTGATTGCCGTTAAAGGTATGTACACTGTACAATTTATAAAATGTATACCTGTTCATTTCATAAGGCAATATCAAAATATTCAAACTAAGTGTACTGTTTTTAAGACATTCATGATAAGAAACTCCTCCAATTATATCCAGTGTAGTGTATACTCCACAATGACTTAATATTAATTACTGGCCAACAAACATCCATTTCTAACTTACTATCATTATTTGTATAATTGAACTTGAAAGTTTAATTGATGATGAACGTTCTGATTAGTTTACCTGGCACTTATGATCTTGATACTTGACCTCACACAAAATAATTGGGGCTATCAAGAAGATATTTTCTCCTCAAGTCACTTTGCTTATCTATATTTTAAGGTATAGTTTCATTGTCACAGTAATTGTTCATATTGTTAAACTCTGACTGATTAATACCTCAAAATTATTTTTGACATATTTCCTGTAAAATCCTGTAAGTCAGACCAGTCATTTGTAATTTGTTAATGATGAGTTTTTTTGTCAACTTTTGATGTATGGCACTGTATTATTAAATGTATTTATTTATTTATTTATTTATTTATTTGCCAACACTTTTATAACAGTGGCACATGGATTATTATCCAGTGCGGCTACATACAACTATACAATATGAATAGAATACAAAGTCATGTATAATTTCTTTAAAACCATGTTGCATTTACTAAAATAATCAAAGACATAAATCTCTGGGCTTGTACACTTGGGTTAAAAAGCGTTTTACAATGCTATCAAATAATCTAAAATAGTCTTGCCCCCATTTTGAAAAAGTCTCATCACCAAGAATAAAGGTCAATTTTTCAGTCAGATTGCCCTTAATGAAATCAGAAAATAAATCGGAGGGACATTGCTTACAAACAGTGTGGAAAAAGGATTCACGTTCTTCTTTAAAATGTTCACACAGCAGCAACCTATGCTGTAAGTCTTCATGTACATTCAAACTACAAAGTTTGCATTTGCCATCACTTTTGCCCCATACAGAGTAATTGGATTCAAGGCAAAAATTGTCGGTTCTTGCAAGAAATTTGAGTCTAGAACCATAAAAATCAAAGTCTTGTTTTAGATAATTTTCTTGGTATGGATGGTTCTTAAAGGTGGAATAAGTATTTAGAGATTTATAATGGGAAATGTCATCAATAAAATTAGTGGTGCGTTCCTGTCTACAAATGCCTTCATAGGTATTGTACCACTCACAGTCATCTCGAAAAAGAACGCCATCAAGGCCCCTCTTGATTAAAATAGACTTTATGTTAGACACATATTTCCAAGGGGCTTCATTACCTTCACCATGTTGGTTTATCAAATGAGTTAAAACCTTATGGGGTAGGGATGAATGGGCTAGGTCAAACTTTAGGTATTTAAAGTAGGCAATTTGTCGTTTTTCAATTGTGAGGTCAATGGGAGTCCAACCGAGATCTCCCAATAAGGCTGGTCTTGCGGGTTTACACTTTAATTGTAGAACAGCTTGCGCTGCTCTGTATTGTATTGACTTCATCAGAGCTATGTTACTTTTGGTAAGTGTCCATATAGAACATCCAGATAAAATTGCAGACTCAATCATAGAGTGATATATTGTTTTTTCCGAAATTTACTCTCTTAACATTGCAATGTTTAGTAAGAGTTGATGATAGGTACCCATTTAACATTCGTGATTTCTTAGATACATGTACATCAATGTGATGAGAATCTTTTAAATTCCTGTGGAAAAAGTTTCCCAGGTATTTATATACATTAACTTCAGAGAGTTTTAGGTCGCCAAATTTCCACAGTTTAGTTGAATCAACTTTTTTTCCAATGACCATTACCTTTGATTTCTTTTTGCTAAACTTAAAGCCCCACTTTATTCCAAATCTGTTAACAACGTTCAGAAGGAGTTCAAGGTCTTTACCAGATTCAGCAGTTAGGACAATATCGTCAGCAAAGAGCAAACATGGGATTTTGAAGTTCTCAAAAGGGAGCCCTGTGTCAACCGATTTTAGGGAGTCCTCTAGGTCACTCATGACAACTATAAACAAGGTTGGGGAGAGGATACAGCCCTGCTTGACTCCGGTTTCAGAGTCAAACCAGTCTGTGGAATTTTGTCCAAAAATTACCTTATTTTGAACATTATTATATAATTCTTTCAAGACACGCCATAATTTACCCTGGATACCCTTTTCCCATAGTTTAATAAATAATAAGTCTCTATCTAACACGTCAAAAGCTTTTGAAATATCAATAAATGATAAATATGTTTTAAGACGTTTCGATTTTCTAAGAGAACATAGACCTTTCAGAGTGAAGACATGATTTTCAAGTCTCTTACCCTTCTGGAAGGCTCCTTGGAGGTTTCCGAGAAGACCATTTTGTTGAAGGAAGTTCATAATTTTTGATTCCAGAAGGCCAGAAAAGAGTTTGTAAATATTGGATGTAATGGTAATACCTCTGTAGTTATCAATGACTTCAGGATCATTTTCTTTGTGAAGTGGTTTAAGTAAGCCTTGCTTCCATTCATTTGGGATGGCTTCATGGTGCTTTATGAATGAAAATAAATGGAAAAGAGGTTCTGCAATAAAATTCTTACAATTCTTTAAAAATTCATTTGGGATCTGATCGATGCCAGAGGCTTTACCATTTTTCAAGTTGGATATAAGTAATTTTATGTCTACTACATTAATGGGAATGTTAGAGAGGGCATTTTCAGATATATCGTTTAAAGTTTCCAATGATGCAACCTTTGCTGCATTACCATCAGAGCTAGTTTTAGGGTTTTTATTATTAATGCCAACATTTTTCCAGTAATTCAATAACGTTTCTTGAACTTTCTTAGGGTCAGTAATAATAAGCTCGGGATTTTCAGGGTCTTTAATTTGAATAGGGTAATTGCTTCGTTTGTTGAACATGGTTAGGGTTCTCCAGAAGCTTCTGGATGATGCAGTTTTGTTTTTAGCATTTAAGGTTATTACTTTAATGTGATTTTTAACATATTTTTCTTTGATCTTCAAAGAAACCTGTTTTTTCCTTTCAATATAAGTGTCCCATAGTTCCTGTAGAACATTGGGGTTGGCAGATTTTGACTTTGACCAGTACCTATAAAAACGATTGGCTTCTTTTCTACTGTATATAAGATCTTTGATTTCATCATCCCAAAAACTTCGACAATCACTAGAAACAGATTTTACACCTACTGACTTAGTTCCAGCGTTTAGAACTTTAGATTTCCATGAGGACCATATACTTTCAACATCATTAAATTGACTGGTGTCCCATTCCATAAATTCATTTTTAATGCAACGTTCAAAGTGTTTCCAGTTCGTTGAGTCTTTAATATCCCATTTAGTAAAGGTAGTACATTTTGGTTTTAAAGCAGGGTCAGGTTTGGATTGTTTGGATGAAACATTAACTATAATAGAGTTGTGGTCACTGCCTATTGAAAATAACTTGTCTTCATCTACCACCATTTTATCAAAGATAGTTAAAAAGTTTTGGTTAGCAAGGGCATAGTCGATTACAGAGGACTGGTCATTTCTAGACCATGTAGTTACGCCATCACATGATTTTGACAGGTTTAAAATATGCAAGTCAGAGACATTACAAAAGTCCTCCAGCAAGTCCCCATTAGGACTTTTTTGACCAAAATGTCTGAAAGATTCAAAATATATTGTTTGCAGGGATGGACTGGGGAGTTGCAGCTGGAATAATCCTCTCTTTCCGTTATGGTGATGTCCTTGTTAATACTGACAGTAGCTGGAAGTGTACGGCTGAATCTGTAGACGCATCATGGAATCAACCTGGATTTGATGATAGGTAAGGTTATCGCTTTAATATCAAAAACATGAAGATCTTTTGTAGAATGTGCAATATTATAGTTAAGCTGATTGGGTGTAATTGGGACACACCTTTGGCTATCCGGATTTAAATTGTTTTTAATAACTACCCCAACATTTCCGTTGGGGAAACTAAATACAAGTTCATATGATGAATTTCAATTTCTAGAATTTCAATATCTATAGGAATATGTCATTATAAAAATATAAGTTTTTGCTTCAAACTTGGTGCCAAAATGTCACACTAAATCTCAGTAAGCCCAAACTCAACCTAAAATGCCACAATGTGGACAGTTATGTCTACAATTCAACACCTTGATAATTTGCTGTATACTTTTGGCAAAAAGGAAAATTTCCTAAAATGAAATAATTTAAAAGATTATTAAAAGTTGCACTATTTATGTATTAGTCAAATTAATTTTATGTAGAAAGTTTTTAGACACATTTTTAGATCTCCTGTTTATATTTATTTTCATGTACAGTACATGGCCTGAAGCAAAAGAATATAGTACAAACCGTGATGACACCTATGTGAAGTTGAAGAATGGGCAGCCTTGGTGGCCCCTAATTGACCCAGCAGCAATAATTATTTGGACTGGCAATGGCATTAAAGATAGTGAAGTTTATTGCAGAAAAAGTAAGAATATTTGTAATAATTTTCAGGAATTCTGTTGTTTTTCAAGCTTTTATTTTTCACTTTCTAGCCACAATTGTAAAATGTTGAGCGTTTTTGCAAAGGATGCATTTAAGGTTTGGGTCACTTATGCAGAAAGGAATGGCTAGTTGCAGTAAATGACCTATATAATTCACATAGATACAGTAAATTTTCTTTAACATTACTACAGGATTCATCTTTATTTTTCAGCTTTGAAAGCCCCAGCTCCATCTCCAAGTAAGTATATTTTTATATACTTGTAATGTAATCTTGCACAGAATTGGTAAATCACCATAATAATGTGCGTGCAAAATTAACAATAAACCCCTACTGTTTAGGGAATGTCTAAGGTATGTGTGGGCTAAATATCTATTAATTCTGTTATTTGTAGAGAAAGACTGGGAGGATATTCCAGGTGCTTGTTTATATATGAACAATAAACGAATCATAAAGTCTGTTGATACTATGATATTATAAATATATCCCTAATTATTTTGAAATTTGTAGATGCAAAGTGGATAGATATTCCTGGAGCATGCTTGTATATGGACAACATAGAAATCCTTAAGCCTGTTGATACTATGGATGCATGTAAGATACTTTGCGAGGATGAGTCAGAATTTACATGCATGTCCATTGACTACAATGCTGGAGCCAAACAGTGTCAATTGCAGGAGAAATACTCAAGAAATGGCCAAATGAGTGACCCTTGCCATGCAGGGCCTGCATGGAGCTATGCTGAGATTTCTGTTGAAGGTATTTTTTATTATTGAAATTCATAAATATTTAAGCACATGTGCCAAAGGGAGATATTTGTCTTGCTTAAAAGTAAAACTGAGAGAAAACATATAATATTATGATTTTAAGATATATTCTGGAACAGCCCTAAAAAATAAGTATTTATTTCAAATGCCAAAATTATTGAATGCCAAAATTTATATTTCTCAAAAGTGAAATTACCTCAAGCTAGAATAAGTTAACATTCGCTGACATGAACTCTTGGTTTTTATGGTTAGTTACTTATTATGGTTAGTTACTTATATAAACTTGTTATGAACAACATAAATCCTGTAATTTAATTCATTTGTTTACTCCACAGGAACCATTGATATTGCTGCTGATGATGCATATGATCTGTTTGTGGATGGGGTTCAATTAGGATCTGCAAAGAACTGGAGAAAGGCAGAACAATACACATTTGACTCTGCACAGAGTGTACAAGTGATTGCTGTTAAAGGTATGTGCATTGTATTAGGCCATCAGCCTTGGGGGTTGGTCGGTATCAAATCAGGGGAATAATCACCATAGTGATTTTTGGGAAGGTGGAGACCTATTGAGTAAGATTTAATGTGATAGCATTACCACAGTGGTAGCTAAATGGGTGTTATCACCCATTTTTCAAAATGGCCGCCAGTGTATGTGTTACAATATAAGAGTGGGTGTATCTAAGCAGACTGAGATGCAAAAACTGTGGTTAACTGATTAATCACTATGATGATTATTCCTCTAACTTGATACCGATAACCTAAATTTTGGGGCGAAGCTGATGGACTATATAGTCTGTCAGTTTGTTCAGCTGTTTAAGGTAGTTCTTGTCATAACTAATCATTTGACAATCATGTCTTGTCTAGAAATAAAATTGAGATAAGCCTGGACAATAGTAATAGGTAGTTTAAGTATTGAAGAATGTACATCTAGTGCAATTAATATATTATTTAAAAGGGAAAACATAACAATCAACAAATAAGAGGTAAAATAAGGAAAGTGAATCTAAATATAATACATTCTTTTAATTCTTTTAATAATTCTTTTGCAGGTATGGACTTATATACGGTTGTATCTGGGATAATTCTCTCCTTCCGATATGACGATGTACTTGTCAATACAGATAGCAGCTGGAAATGTTTCTTTGGAACTGTTGATCCAACATGGAATCAACCTGGATTTGATGATAGGTAATGTTGAAGATGATGATGTATTAACACTGGTTCTAACTAAACATTACACCAAAATTATAAGAATAAATGGAAGTGAGATTTACAATTATATCCAGTTTTAAGAATATTAACCAACATTTGAGACATCCACTTTTATTTGTTGTGCAGTAATTGGCCCGCAGCAATAGAATACAGTACAAACCGTGATGACTCATATGTGAAGTTAAACAAAGAAGGACAGCCTTGGTGGCCTCTTGTTGACCAAGCAGCAAGAATGATTTGGACCAGCAATGGCTATAAAGACAGCACAGTTTATTGCAGGAAAAGTAAGTTAACTCTTATGGTGTGTTATAAACAGATATTTCTGTTGTTCTGTTTTTTAAATGTTACAACATTATGTGATTGCCAATAAGCAATTGTGGAAAAGAAATAGCTAGGTTTAGACATATATACAGAACAAACCTCAACAACACCATAATCTAATATGGAAAGAAACAATAACTTATACCTCTTCCCCCAACATCTGAGACAACACCACCAAGGCCCATTTCATTCATACTGAAGTCTTTACAATACATGTTGAAGAATAGATTTAAGGATTGATAGCCAATACTCATAACATCAAAAATAGCTGTAGATACTCTAGTATTCATACAAGAAAGAGCATTCAGTCTCAAATGATGTGGGACAGACAAAATCCAGTCTTGAAGTCTGAAGCGTATCAATGGGTCTATTATATTTTAATCTATTATGATAAACCATCTCTATTTTGCAGATTTAAAAGCTCCAGCACCATCTCCAAGTGAGTATATTTTTGTATACTTGTGCTGTAATTATGAGTTAACTTGGTTAAAATCTTGTATAGAATTGGTGAATCACCATAATAATGTACATGGAAAATTAACACGATACCACTACTGCTTAGGGTATGTCTAAGGTATGTGTGGGGTAAATATCTGTTAATTCTGTTATTTGTAGAGAAAGACTGGGTGGATATACCAGGTGCTTGTTTATATATGAACAATAAACGAATCATTAAGTCTGTTGATACTATGGACGCATGTAAGATACTTTGCGAAGATGAGTCAGAATTTACATGCATGTCCGTTGACTACAATGCTGGAGCCAAACAGTGTCAATTGCAGGAGAAATACTCTGGAAATAACCCAATCAATGACCCTTGCCATGCAGGGCCTGCATGGAGCTATACTGAGATTTCTGTTGAAGGTATTTTTGTTATTGAAATTCATATGATATTTGTCTTGCTTAAAAGTAGAACTGAGTACATATGATATAATGATTATAAGATATATTCTGTTGTTATTCCAAAGTTATTGAATGCCAAAATTTATATTTTTCAAAAGTGAAATCACCTCAAGCTAGAATTAGTTAACATTCTCTGACATGAACGCCTGGTTTTTAAACAAGTTGTCTTGGTTTATAAACTTATATAAACTTGTTTTAAATGAACAACATAAATCCTGTATTTATATGGTTATTCACATCCACCATTAGAATAATTATTTTACTTTAATTCATTTGTTTACTCCACAGGAACCATTGATATTGCTGCTGATGATGCATATGATCTGTTTGTGAATGGTGTCCAGTTAGGATCTGCAGAGAATTGGAGAAAGGCAGAACAATACACAGTTGACTCTGCACAGAGGGTACAAGTGATTGCTGTTAAAGGTATGTCCACGTTTTAGTATGTTAAGTGGGTCAAGCTAATAAAGGTAGTTTTTTTGTTGTTATTAATCATTTGACATTCATGTCACGTCTAGTTTGAAAGATAATCATATTACATCAGAATATTGAATTATATTCTTGGACAATATTAAAAAGTTTATAAGTAGTATAAATATTGAAGTATATACATCAAGAGCAATTTATATATTTTTCCAAATGGATTGCACCACAATCAACAGAGGAAGAGGCAATTTTAGAAAACTAAATCCAAGTATCAGACATTAGCATGGTTCGTTTTGCAGGGATGGACTTATATAAGGTTGTATCTGGGATAATCCTCTCCTTCCGTTATGGTGATGTCCTTGTGAATACAGATAGCAGCTGGAAATGTTTCTTTGGAACTGTTGATCCATCCTGGAATCAACCTGGATTTGATGATAGGTAATGTTATAGCTAAATTGAAATGATATGAATTTAATATTTTCAGTAGAATATGAAATGTCATGTGCTACTTTAGAGAAACATGATGTACAATGTCATCTGGATAGCCATGGGTGTTGTACAGTAGTCATTTTTATAGAAACAGAGTAGGTTTCAACAAAGAGGAAATGCATGTGCTTTGGTTATGAAAATATGTTAAGAAAGTCTAGGCTATGTGACATGCAATATAAATGTAATGTGTTCTGTATATATCAAAGCGTGGACCCAATTAACCAACATTTGAGACATCCACTTTTATTTGTTGTGCAGTAATTGGCCCGCAGCAATAGAATACAGTACAAACCGTGATGATTCCTATGTGAAATTAAACAAAGAAGGACAGCCTTGGTGGCCTCTTGTTGACCAAGCAGCAATAATGATTTGGACCAGCAATAGCTATAAAGACAGCACAGTTTATTGCAGGAAAAGTAAGTTAACTCTTATGGTGTATGATTGAAAGAGATTTGTGTTGTTCTGTTTTTCAAATGTTTCAACAGGATTGTCAGAAAGCAATTTTGGAATAGAATGTGCAAAGAAGAAATGATTGGGGTAGTTAATGATTTTGTATGATACACTCGATATGAACATTTATATTTTTAACCTAGTTTTATCAGTAGTCTTTATTTTTCAGATTTGAAAGTAACTGGTACTGCAGATCCAACGAAAAAAACAACACCAGCACCTACTACACCTAAGCCAACACCTGCGCCCACTACACCTAAGCCAACTACTAAGACAACACCAAAGCCAGCTCCAGCTCCAAGTAAGAAATATTTTTATATACTGTAACTGTAGATGGATTCACTAAGGTTTATTTTTGACTAACTGTATCTTCTTTGAAAATCTCTCAAAATTAAGTGTACCGCTGCTCAGGGTGTGTTTTATTAGCTTTACTTGGTTTCTCACACAGACCTGGACTGTCAGTTATCTCTAGACCTCTGGTCTTGTGCATTTGTTGCACTTTGATCCTGTTCATCATATACTAATCTAGTAGTTAAGTAAGTGATCCTGTTCATGCCTAGATTTCCACAAGGGCCGCATAAGTGTTTGTTGCTGTCTGTCTGTTCAGTTTTGCTTACTGATAAATACATGAGATTGTATCAACTATAGACTCCATTTTGATATTTTCAGAGTGTGGATACATTGGACAGTTGCTTGCTGATAAGGCAGACCCCTGCAGATTTTACCAATGTGCCTATGCTGATGCCTTTTTGAACCTGAAGGCAGTCAGCATGCCCTGTGCCCCTGGGACAAGTGTGCCACTCTCATATGTAGCTGGAAATCCATGCATTGGACCAGCCTTAGCCCAGTGTCCAAAGCCATAGTTACAATTTTTGACTTTTACAATCAATCTAGTTCTATATTATAATGGAATATGTTGATACAATACGTCGGAACACTTGCAATTATGTATCATTTTTTATCAATCATGATTTACTCAGAAGCTATGACACATAGGTGCCCATCAAATTGTCTTCTATTATTGCAAACCCACTAAGACATTCATGTTTATGTTTATGAAGAAATAAAATGACAAGAAAATCATCAGAATCAGAATAATTTGTTTCCTTCAATTGTTATATTCAATGCAGATTGCATGAACATGCTGAAACATAAGTCATTTTTGAATTAAGTCAATTATGTTCATATATGTGTAGTTGATATCTAATAAAGATGAAATTGTGGAAAGAGTTCTGTTTTTTTATATTATATAGTAATGCTTAGACTAAAAGATATCACAAATTCAGATCAATATTGACTGTTGGTTGCTCACTGAATGCTCATATTAATTTGCACTTATGTTTCCCACAGGCTCAGACTGTATAGGGTGTGTCACTTTACCATTTCTATAGCTATCTCAGTTATAGCAGAATCCCTGTGATACTTTGCATTCTGAAAACATGTGGCAAGCCATACGGCCTCATTCTTAAGAATGAATTGTTCCTGGGATTTTCATTTAAACCACACATATTTTTCAGTTATCAAGTTGAATGAAATTAACATTTGTTTGGTCCACAAAAATAACCGCTGTAACGTACAGTGATTTCTATTATTCAAATATTTATGTGTGGTTTAATTGTAGATTTTTTTAGTAGAGGTAGCTGGCCTACCTAGATGTCTTTGTTATATCATTGTTCACATTCAACAAACACTATTTTGTGAGATTTGAGATGATGAATAAATAAATTATGGATGAACAAGACTTCTGTTTTAATGTTTTGATTGTTTGTGGTCAGAATGCCCACCCCACATCTATAAATATTTTCCAACTATATTTTGTATGTACTTGACATTATTATTCAATTCTATAAATTCATACCTGCCTTTGGAGAATACAGTGGAATGATTCCAAATCATGATATGAATGTAGAACTAAAAAGCAAGTTCATTTCTAGTCAAAATCCCATGTATAAAGTTCATGTAACTAACAGTCACACAAACATTGCTCTCCTAAGAGCAACTCACATTGACAGATATAAATTGACCACATGAAATTCTCTCAGAAAAAACTAAATTATCGACTGAAATATGAATTGCTCTTAATACATGTATATGAATTCCCAGGAAATTAAGTATAGAACTCAAGGACGGGAAATATCCTGTGAGATCATAGTTTCGAACATTTTTCTCTGTGACATGTATTACCATCGATGCCAAAAAGAAGTATCAGTGTTTCAGAATTATTGCTTAACATCTTATATAGATTCTTGATTTTGGTGTTACCGAATATCTTACCAGTTATCTTATACCTTTACAAATAAACTTTTACCTGATGTCTTACTATATTTATTGCTTCTCTTTTCAGAATTTTGTGACTGTATTTGATGTAGAGAGGCAGACTCTGTGGGCACCACAATATCAGGTATATAAGCTTTAACAGTTAATACCTATTTCACATTCAATGATTCTGCCCTTACTCTAAGAGCGAGGAGGAAAATTCTTAATAAATGGTGTATAGTTGGTTTGGCAGCATTTTCAGTTAGAGGGAAGTCTTGGATGAAAATTCTACCTAGGTGATAGCTTCACAGAGTGGTACATAATTCTTTTTTTTCAGGGGTTAGCCCCCCACCCCCCAAAAACACCCCACCCTGGGAAAATAATTTTTTCATTCTCAATAACTTTAGATATCTTGATGTTTGTAAGTTACATACATAGACATTATATATATGAATGATTTGCAAAATAAATAATGCCAATCACTCCTACAGAATTTGAAAAATTGTACAAAGTATGTACCCCAGGGGGCAAATTCATGACCCATTTTCTTACTATTTAGAGCCTCACTTTTCAATCAGACACTGGAAGACATTGGAAAATTTCATGTAAAGTGCCCAGTAGCAGGGCTATTAGCCCTGAAAGGTTCAAACTAATTGAATTAGTAGGAGCCGAGAAAAAGATTGTTGATTTTTTGAAAAATTTGACATTTTTGAGAGGGGTGATTTTGTGTATGACTATAGCTGATGCCTATGGTTTCCAGATCTATCCCCCTTTGATGATAAATATGGTTTTGAAGTATGACACTAAGATGTAAAAGATAATCAAAATGGGTTTTAAGGAAGTTTAATGTCTTAAACAAGTTCAAAATTCCCAAAATTGTACAATATCAGGTCTGAATTTACGAATTTTAGGTAAGACCTTGGATGAGCCTTAGATTTTTTATTTCTGTCCCCCTTTGATGATATTTATGGTTTTGTAGTGTGGAACTAAGATGTACAAAATAATTTAGATGGTTTTTAAGAAGGTTTAAGGATTTTAACAAGTTCAAAATTTGAAGAATTGTACAATATCAGGTCTGAATTTACGAATTTCAGGTAAGACCTTTGATGGCTCTTATGTTTTTACATCTGTCACTCTTTGATGATATGTATTGTTTTGTAGTGTGGAACTAAAATATTAAAAATGATTTAGATGGTTTTGAAGAGTGTTTAGGGATTTTAATGAGTCAAAAATTTTAAGAATTGTACAATATCAGGTCTGAATTTTCGAATTATAGGTATGACCTTGGACGACTCTTGTTTTTTACATTTGTCCCTCTTTAATGACAGTTATAGTTTTATGATATGGAACTAAGATGTAAAATATAGTTTAGAGGCCCTTTAGATGAATTTTAAGAAGGTTCAAGGATTCTAACAAGTTCAAAATTTGAAGAATTGTACAATTTCAGGTCTGAATTTTCTAATTTTAGGTAAGACCTTGGATGAGCCTTATATTCTTTTACACCTGTCCCTCTTTGATGATATGTATGGTTTTGTAGTGTGGAACTAAGATGTAAAAAAATAATTTAGATGCATTTTAAGAAGGTTTAAGGATTTTAATTTGAAGAATTGTACAATATCATGTCTACAATGAATGAATTTCAGGTATAACCTTGGTTAGCCCATATGATTTTAATTTTAACACCTATCCCCTTTTCATGATATATTTGGTTTAGTTGTGTGGAAATATGTATATTATAATTTACATCAGTTTTAAAGAAGCTTAACGTTTTAAACAAGTTCAAAATCTTTGCGTTTTGCACAATATCATATCTGAAATTAATGAATTTAAAGTATAACCTTGCTTGGCCCTTATATTTTTAACATCTATCCTTTTTGATGATATATATGGTTTAGTAGTGTGGAGCTAATATGTAAATCATAATTAAGATGGGTTTTAAAGAGGTTTAAGGTTTTAAATAAGTTCAAATTTTGACGTATTGTACAATATCAGAGCTGATATTAATGAATTTTAGGTATTATGTTTTTTACATCTATCCCTTTTTGATGACATATACGCTTAAGTAGTGTTGAACTAAGATGTTAAACAACAAAATTTAGACAGGTTTGAAAGAAGTTTAAATTTATTAATTTTAGGTATAACTCTGGATGGCCCTTATTCGCTTTTTACATACATCTCTCTATGATAACATATATGGTTTTGTAGTATGGACTTAATATGTAAAACATAATTGAGATGGGTTTTAAAGAAGTTTAAGGTTTTAAACAAGTTCAAATTTTGACGAATTGTACAATATCAGAGCTGATATTAATGAATTTTGGGTATTAAGGTGAGCCTTATGTTCTTTACATCTATCCCTTTTTGATGACATATATGCTTTAGTAGTGTTGAACTAAGATGTTAAACATAATTTAGACAGGTTTTAAAGAAGCTAAAGGTTTAAACAAGTTAAAAAATTGAAGAATTGTACAATAACAGTTCTGGAATTTGTTAATTTTAGGTATAACTGTGGATGGCCCTTATCCGTTTTTTACATATACCTCTCTATGATAACATATATGGTTTTGTAGTATGAAACTAAGATGTAAAACATAATTTAGAAGGGTTTTAAGGAGGTTTAAGGTTTTAAACCTGTTCAAAACTTGACAAATTGTACAATAATATCATATCTTCTGACATTAACGAATTTCAGGTATGTATCTCTCTATGATAATATATATGGTTTAGTAGTATGGAACTAAGATGTAAAACATAATTTAGATGGGTTTTAAGGAAGTTTAAAGGCAGAATCAGATCTATGGGAGTGACAAAATTACAAGCAACATGTGCAATTCATGTACCAATCTATTCCTTACAATCTCAAATACAATATCTCGAAAAAGATTCACGATGTGTTAAAAATTGATGAAGTTATAATAGATTCAAAGAGCAAAAAATGGGTGAAAAATGTTTAAATTCTCCCAAAATAATAAGAATGGTGACCATTCTTATGAAAATAATACATTATTGTAGAAATCTTTAGTTTTCCTGAAATAAAGTGCGCACTTTGGGGATTATTAGCAAATAGACATGAAAAGGAATGACATAAGCCAGAAATATTCAAAAAGGTCCATGAGCAGTATGGCAACTGATTTAAGACGGTCATATATTTCACCATGAGTACTTTCTGGGCATAAATACAGTGGTTTTTATTAAAACAATATGTTTTCTTTCAAGTGAAGTCCCCATGATAATAAAAATATCAATCAAACAATTCGAAAAATGATAAATAGGGACCCCATGTCAACATTTTTTTTCTAAATGTTTAGAGCCAACCAAGGTTATACTTGAAATGTAGTGTTAATTGCAGACCTAATATTGGACAATGCGCCAAGATTTTGAACATGTGAAAATCCTTAAAGCTTCTTAAAATCCATCTTAATTAGTTTTTTACATCTTAGTTCCACACTACAAAATCGTACATATCTTCAAAGAGGGACAGATGTAAAAAATATATGGCTCACCAAAGGTCTTGCCTGAAATTCGTAAATTCAGCCCTCATATTATACAATTTTTCAAATTTTGAACTTATTAAAGTCCTTAAACCTTCTTAAAATTCATCTAAATTATATTTTACATCTTAGTTCGTTACTATAAAACCATAACTATCATCAAAGAGGGACAGATATAAAAACATAAGGGTCATCCAAAGTCATACCTTAAATTCGTGAATTCAGACCTGATATTGTACAATTCTTCAAATTTTGAACACACTGAAATCCTTAAACCTTCTTCAACTCCACCTAAGTTTTTTCTTACATATTATTTTCACACTACAAAAGCATACATATCATCAAAGAGGGACAGATGTGAAAAATATATGGCTCACCAAAGGTCTTACCTGAAATTCGTAAATTCAGCCCTGATATTGTACAATTCTTCAAATTTTGAACTTGTTAAAATCCTTAAACCTTCTTAAAAACCATCTAAATTATTTTGTACATCTTAGTTCCACACAACAAAGCCATAAATATCATCAAAGAGGGACAGATGTGAAAAATATATGGCTCACCAAAGGTCTTACCTGAAATTCGTAAATTCAGACCTGATATTGTACAATTCTTCAAATTTTGAACTTGTTAAAATCCTTAAACCTTCTTAAAAACCATCTAAATTATTTTGTACATCTTAGTTCCACACTACAAAGCCATAAATATCATCAAAGAGGGACAGATGTGAAAAATATATGGCTCACCAAAGGTCTTACCTGAAATTCGTAAATTCAGACCTGATATTGTACAATTCTTCAAATTTTGAACTTGTTAAAATCCTTAAACCTTCTTAAAAACCATCTAAATTATTTTGTACATCTTAGTTCCACACTACAAAGCCATAAATATCATCAAAGAGGGACAGATGTGAAAAATATATGGCTCACCAAAGGTCTTACCTGAAATTCGTAAATTCAGACCTGATATTGTACAATTCTTCAAATTTTGAACTTATTAAAGTCCTTAAACCTTCTTAAAATTCATCTAAATTATATTTTACATCTTAGTTCGTTACTATAAAACCATAACTATCATCAAAGAGGGACAGATATAAAAACATAAGGGTCATCCAAAGTCATACCTTAAATTCGTGAATTCAGACCTGATATTGTACAATTCTTCAAATTTTGGACTCACTGAAATCCTTAAACCTTCTTCAACTCCACCTAAGTTTTTTCTTACATATTATTTTCACACTACAAAAGCATACATATCATCAAAGAGGGACAGATGTGAAAAATATATGGCTCACCAAAGGTCTTACCTGAAATTCGTAAATTCAGACCTGATATTGTACAATTCTTCAAATTTTGAACTTGTTAAAATCCTTAAACCTTCTTAAAAACCATCTAAATTATTTTGTACATCTTAGTTCCACACTACAAAACCATAAATATCATCAAAGAGGGACAGATGTAAAAAATCTAAGGCTCGTCCAAGGTCTTACCTAAAATTCGTAAATTCAGACCTGATATTGTACAATTCTTAGAATTTTGAACTTGTTTAAGACATTAAACTTCCTTATAACCCATTTTAATTATTTTTTACATCTTAGTTCCATACTTCAAAACCATATTTATCATCAAAGAGAGATAGATCTGGAAACCATAGGCATCAGCTATAGTCATACACAAAATCACCCCTCTCAAAAATGTCAAATTTTTCAAAAAATCAACAATTTTTTTCTCGGCTCATACTGATTCAATAAATTTGAACCTTTCAGGGCTTATAGCCCTGCTACTGGACACTTCACATGAAATTTTCCAATGTCTTCCAGTGTCTGATTGAAAAGTGAGGCTCTAAATAGTAAGAAAATGGGTCACGAATTTTCCCCCTGGGGTACATACTTTGTACTATTTTTCAAATTCTGTAGAAGTGATTGGCATTATTTATTTTGCAAACGATTCATATATATAATCTCTATGTATGTAACTTACAAACATCAAGATATCCAAAGTTATTGAGAATGAAAAAATTATTTTCCCGGGGTGGGGTGTTTTTGGGGGGTGGGGGGCTAACCCCTGAAAAAAAAGAATTATGTACCACTCTGTGAAGCTATCACCTAGGTAGAATTTTCATCCAAGACTTCCCTCTAACTGAAAATGCTGCCAAACCAACTATACTCCATTTATTAAGAATTTTCCTCCTCGCTCTTAGAGTACCTGGGGATTCTGCAAGATGTATTCCCTATCCCTCCAGGCAGGCCATTATTGTGTCATTGAAAGATGAACATATATTCACCTCAATAGTATTGAATATTTGTACAGCATTTGGATTTGTCATTTAGTGATTCCATTTCAAGATAGAGATGAGGAGTGACTAGAACGTTGTTTCAATTTTAGAATATTCTTGGGAGTTATTGCCTATCATCCCTATCATCCTATCATCATTCCCTATCATATTTTCCCTATCAAAAGGTTTTTTCCTTTGTTGGGCATTTATTCATCCACCTCATATGCTAGCCTTTACTAATCAACTAGATTTATTGCAGAATAAGTTTTATTATTTCACCATGTGGGAATAGCATGTGACTATTTGTTGTAAATTGTTACCCTTCTGGCATTGATATAATACCATATGAGGCAGTCTAGACATAATGATTGGAGTCAGGGGTTGAATAATAAGTGTTCTTATTATAAAAAGCTTCACACACAGGATTATGGCAGTTCTGCTCTTTTAGAAAAAATTGAAAACACTTTATGGGGAAATTTGAACAAAATTTTGAACTATTTATTCTATAAAAATGGGTAAATATCCACATTAAAATTTTGAAAAATATTCATTTCATGATATACTGGTAATTGTTATCATGAGAAATACGCAGAAATACTGACATTAAGCGGATCTAACGTAATACTTTAACAACTCTTTAAGGTTCATGCTATCATTTCTTTTCAGAATTGTAATTTTTGCTTTCAGGGTAACCTTATTACAGTATTAGTAAAAAAGAGACAACAGTTTTTAGACAATGAACAGGCCTTTGTTGCATATATCCACTGGTAAGAAAATACATTGGGTAAACTTAATATTTGTTTGCCATAAAGAATTTGCATAGTTGCTTAATAAAATTTAAATACTCAGTGTATTTTCCATGTGAGCAATTCAAAGATTCAAAACATTAATTTGCAATTAATTAATCACTAATAATATTTCTTGATTAACTCAAAGCACAAATCTACTATTAAATGCATGTACTTAATAATGTAACATTATTTCATATCTGTTTTAGTTTCCTGATGGATCTGTCTATGAAATCATTCCTCTACTATCATGGATTCTGTCTCAGTAAAAGTAATGCTGCCAACAGGTATGTGGATAGATTTATCCCTGGTCTCCATAATCTCTGAATGATTCTGTTATACAGGGTGTTCAAAAAAAAACGCAACCCAAAGAAATCGCAATATCTTGGAAAATACTAATCCAATCATGTTCATATTTTCAGGAAAGAAGGAAGAGACTGTGTATGTATAGCCCCTGTTGTTAGTTAGTTGTAAAACATGATATCTTGGACACTTTCTCAAAAAACAGTTATACTAGCAAAATATGAAAAACGTGAATGGAGAATCACTATATCTTGGAAAATATTAATTCAATTATGTTCATTTTTTCAGGAAAAGAAAGAAGAGACTGTGTATGTATAGCTCCTGTTGTCAGTAAGTTATAAAACATGATGCCTTGGACACCTGCTCAAATGACAGTTGTACTAGAAAAATATGAAAACGCAGTCAGAGGTGACAGTCACAGCAATAAAACCAAATAACTTTCTAACCATGGTGTTTTGGCACTTCAGATTTGGCACAAATTTGGCTTCTTAAGTCTCCCTGAACCAGGGCGTTTGACTGCGATTTGAAAGCATTTCAACCATAACTGTAAAGTCCCTGAAGTGATTTTGATTTCACTCTACAGATTTACCATACAATGAATGAAGATGATTTGTGCCAAATTTGAAGAGCCAAAACACTATGGTTAGGAAGTTATTTAATTTTTTCGCGGTTGCTGTCACCCCTGACTGCGTTTTTCGTATTTTCCTCATACAACTGTCTTTTGAGCAGGTGTCCAAGGCATCATGTTTTACAACTAACCATTTACAGGAGCTGTTCATACACAGTCTCTTCTTTATTTCCTGAAAATATGAACATAATTGAACCAGTATTTTTCAAGATATAGCGATTTCTTTGGGTTGCATTTTTTTTGAACACCCTGTATTTTGAATTGTCCAGGGAAAGAAATGTATACGTAATGTTGAGTATTACAAGACCCGTTTGAACTTTGAATGCATGTAGGCATTCACCTACCATATGAATGATTATTATGTCACTACTACGACACATTGTAATAGTGTTTGTAGACTGTGTTTGGTGGTCAGAATTCAGTGTCTGTAACAAATGGCATGTGGTGACATTTTGTTATAGTTTCAATCTTCTGTTTGTCACCCCGCCTTTTACTAGATCTGTTTGTACCACATCCCCTGTTTGTTTTTCAATATCTGATTGATATTGATTGTAAAGCCTTATTAATTAAGTCAACGAGCCTATTGGGAGCTAAATAGGTGTTTATCTACCAGGATAATAGATTATTCATCATTAGCAGTAATGAGCAATGATCCTTCAAGGATTATCTTATAAATCTTCAGGTTGTTTGCTTAACTGATGGAATTGGAAATTGGGGTTAATTGTAACAATAATTTATAGTCATTTTTCACATCAAAATCAATATTTACGTCTGTCCTGGACTTATTTTAAAATTCATATATTTAAATTATTTGTAGAACAACAATTTGTAAGATGAGTATTGTTATTGTATTATTGATTACAATTATACATTATACTCTGTTATTGTATTATTGATTACAATTATACATTATACTCTGTTATTGTATTATTGATTACAATTATACATTGTACTCTGTTATTTTTGTATTGATTACAATTATACATTGTACTCTGTTATTGTATTATTGATTACAATTATACATTGTACTCTTTGACTCTTTGAATTATCTCATGGACTATCTGTCATACTCTCTCGAGGAAGACCCAGTTTTTATAGTATAATTCAAAATCAATATGTAAGGAAAGTTTAGCGTGTGTGTGTGTGGGAATATATAAGCACAAATGCCAAAGGCATAGAAATGTCAGTTATGCTTCCTCTGGTGTGTTTGAGCATTAACATCAGCTGCCTCTAGTCAGATCGACGGACAAAACAACCTTTTTTGGGGTTGTCGAGTTGGCTGAGAGGGCTTGTGCACCGGCACGTTCGAGGTAGGCGATTCGGCGCCATAACCAAGAGGTTGCGAGTTCGAGACTCGTGTGCTCCTTGTGTTTATTCATTCAAATGTGTGTAATTGGTTTATGTAAACTAATTTACATCATATGCATATTGTATCTTTAGATAGTGTCAAAAATGTCAAAACTGAAAAATGCTCTCGTTTAAGGCAATTCTAGATGTTGTGTTTTCAAATCAAATAGGCCCATCTGTATAGACATGGCAAAATTAACGTAAATCACCTTAGGGTTGTAAGAGTTATTAGACAAAGAATAAGAGTGAGTGTTATTAATACTTACTCATAACCAGCAAATGTATTCCATACCATATACAGTAAAACCTGTCTAATCTGAACGCCATTGTGACCAGCTAAAAGTGTTTGGATCGGGAGGTGTTCACTTTTTGAGTTTTTTGCATTCATAATATTCTGGATTTTGAAGAAATGTGAACAATTCTCAATAAATATTTATAGTTTTAGCTTTATGGCATTCTGCTAATATTTGAAAATATGATTCAAATGAAATTCGGCATAATGGAAAGACCCATTATGATTGTGACTATTAAATGTTTATTTTGTCAAAATTTTGATCTCATAAAATTACTATTCATTTTTCAGTCAAAAATATTTGAGCAATTTTGTAAGAAACAGCGATATTTTGTAAAAAGTGTTCAGATGAGGTTAATTTTTCAAATATGACTGTTCAGTGTTCAAATTGGAAGATGTTCACATTTTAAGGTTTTTAGCAATAAAAGTCAATGGGAGGAAAAAATGGGACCAAAAGTGTTCAGCTTTGGAGGTGTTCAGATTAGCAAGGTGTTCAGATTTACAAGTTTCACTGTGTATAAAATGTAATTTCCGTAAGAAATCCATGATATATTTTCAAATAGTGAAGATGGAAGAAAAGATTCTTAAGATTGAGATGAAAAAGTTTAATGTTTCAAATTTTGAAATGACAGGGTGATCTGATTGAATTGGTAGACTGTGTTAAGGTAGCATTTTAGACTTAATCAAAGATATATGACTAGACTTTATTATGGCCATACAAAGATGTGTTATCACAATCCACTCTTTTGAGGGACAATAAGGGAGTTGCTATTCACCTTTCCCCAAAGTCAGCTCATGAATATTATAATTAGCAAATCTAGAATCTCTGACGTCAGAGTAGGGCAGATTTTCGCGGCAAAATCTGAACACATTACAAGTCAATGTGAATCGCGACAGAGACGGGCTCTTTTAATTGTTGAATTATGGTGAGTACTTAATTATCTGTATCATAAATGTGATGGAATCTCATTAATTACACTCTCGTTTATATTCTCCCTTCATTATACTGTTCTGAGAAATCAAATGAATATACATGATATAGTAAAATTGATGTGAAGAGTCCAATGTTTACAGCAGACCCTGATATGTACTTCTTTAGTGTCAACATACCATTGACTACTGCACTGTAATAATAAGCTTGTGCTATATTTTCTCATAGTGTTAGGTGAAATAGATATTAATTGATCAATCAACAGTAAAAACGAGTCATATGTATTGGGGGGAGGGGGGGGGGAGGTTTTGGCCTACTAGAGTCTTGCGTACATTCCAGTTAATGAACAAGTATTGATGTACATCCAGCCAGGGAAATAGAAATTAAAATGGGGAGTTTGAACAAGAGGCTTAATTAATTAACTTCAGGGGCGGGGGCTTAAAGAAAACTTTTTCGACTCGTGAATCAGTGCTTGATAATAATTGAATGCAATACCATTTATAATTTTCTTCAATTGATTTCAGGATGCGGCAGCATATCATCAATTTCACATAAACGAACTCGAAAATAAATATTTTTGTGACAGTTCCAAGAAACGCAAGACATGTACACACAAACACATTGTTGGGTAGGTGTTCCACATATGAATACGACTAATTGTAGTAACCAGAGAAAAAGAATCTTTAATCGTATGCAGCAAAACAAGGACAATAATCGCAACATTGGTATTATTTACGATTTGATACCTGAGTCATTTGGTCTTCTTACCCCAACTGCAATCCCGGTGTGAAAGAAATGATGGTCCCCACGGATTATGGTCCCCTTTCTTAACGGCCCTTACTGGCCCTGATTGCGTATACGATAATGGGGGAACGAGTTGTATTTAGGTCACCATATAAATCAATGGAGAGTAGGACGATAATTTGAGAGGACCTCCTACCCTTTTACACCGGTGTTCTTTTGAAATGTATAGAACTGACAGAATATTCACGATATTTAGGGACGTAATACCTTCAAGGGAGAAGTTTTATCTGGTAATTGCATTTGCAATTTTAAAAATACAAGCTATGATGACTATTCGTTCCTTCAAATTGCATCTAAAATGAATTAATTTTCCACGACCCTAATGCAAGTCCATACGACAATCCAACGCATTAGAGGCGGTGTTCACCGTCTACGACCCATCATGAGTTTGGAAATTATTTATTAGGTTTGTGCAAGCATGAGAAAAATATCATTAGCCTCTATTACATTAAAAACTGTTCTTCATATGTTATATTTTTATTAGAAACATAATAATGTATTCGGATATTTATGTTAAATAAATGTTCCTATAATATGCACAGTCTTGTCTGAATAATTGTTTGTCTTTGGTACGGTAATTGGATTCAATTTATTAGAAGACCAGCACTCATATCACAAATTATTCCTATGGTTTCATTTACCAGGTAGTGTATTTAAGACACAGCCGAAGACAAAAAATTTCAGAAAAATAAATTTCAATTAGTTTTGATATCATTTTAGATGAGACTTATTTTTCTCATTCGGCGATCTAATAGTAAATGAAGTTTTCGCGCGAAAAGTGCCCTGCTTTGACGTCATCGATTTTCACCGACCAATCAGCGCAGTGGTCAAATGAGTACACTTTCATTTCATTTATTTATTTTTCACTGAATTTATATATGCAATCAATAAGAAAAAAGTAAATGATTAAAGGCTTAATAGTAAATCTCTTAAAATCTCACTAAAAACAAGAGTTATCGAGATTTCAAAGTTACATGTATAA